CTGGCCCACGATCTATTTTCTTCTCTCCATTTCTCTCTCAAGTTTGGGGGAGAACTCAACAGTGTGAATTAGGGTTTTACCCGAAAACCTCAGAGAGAGATAGACACTACGAGGTTCTCTATTCTCGTTGATTACTGATCCGCCGGACAAATGGCGTTGCGACATCTGAGCCGACCGAGAGACATCGTAAAGAGATCGACGAAGAAGTACCTCGACGAACCGCTTTACCACCGTCTCTTCAAAAATGGCGGCTCCGAGGTCAGTGTTCGGCAGCAGCTGAATCAGTTCCTCAAAGGTACTAAGCACGTCTTCAAATGGGAAGTAGGAGACACGATCAAGAAGCTCCGAAGTCGCGGCCTTTATTATCCGGCACTCAAGGTTTCATCTTATTTCTGGAAATCCCATTTAGATGCTTGGGATTAGTTCCACAATCGCATTTTCACAATGATTCTCTGATTATACAACCAGTTTGCTTCAACCTGTAGAAATGTAGATTAAGGACGAACAATAAGGTTTCATCTTATTTCTGGAAATAGCTTCTTCGATTCAATGGGATTAGTTCTTCTAGCGGATTTTCACAATTGATTCTCAGAGTATACAACCACTTTGCTTCAACCTGTTGATTAAATGTGGAAATGTAGTTTCTTAAAGTGGATAGCTTGATGCTCATGAAGATTGGGATTAGATCCACATATAATTCTCAGATTATACAACCATTGCTTCAACCTGTTGAGTACGTGTAGAAATGTAGATTCGTAAAGTGGATAGTTTGATGCTCATGAAGAACAATTTAGTAATTGTTGGGATTAGTTTCCACAAGCGGATTTTCACAACTGATTATCAGATCATACAACCATTGGCTTCAACCTGTTGAATACATGTGGAAATGTAGATTCGTAAAGTGTATAGTTTGATACTAATGACGAACAATTTAGTAATTGGTGTAGAGGCAGATAGAGATGCTCTTGAAATTGGTGATTTCACTGTGTGATGTTTGTTCCTTTAGTTAGGCTTCTGCTTGCGAATTCTTATTGTAGAGTTATTTTGGGCTTTTTCAGCTATCTGAAGTTATGGAACATAAAGGTATGAACAAGACGGTGAGTGATCAAGCAATCCATCTTGATCTTGTTGCCAAAGCTCGAGGAATTGCTGCTGGGGAGACTTATTTCGTCGATCTTCCTGAAACATCGAAAACTGAGCTCACTTATGGTTCTCTTTTGAACTGTTATTGCAAAGAGTTGATGACCGAGAAAGCGGAAGGTCTGCTAAACAAGATGAAAGAGCTCAACATTACCGTTAGCGCCATGTCGTACAACAGCCTCATGACCCTTTACACAAAGACCGGACATCCCGACAAGGTTCCTGCGATGATTCAAGAAATGAAGGCCGAGAATGTCATGCCGGATTCGTACACATACAATGTCTGGATGAGGGCATTAGCTGCTACAAATGATGTTTCTGGTGTCGAGAGAGTCATCGAAGAGATGAACAGAGATGGTAGAGTTGCTCCAGATTGGACCACATACAGCAACATGGCCTCTATATACGTCGATGCGAGACTATCTGAGAAAGCTGAGAAGGCTCTTCAAGAACTGGAGATGAAAAACACGCAAAGGGATTTCAAGGCTTATCAATTTCTTATCACATTGTATGGAAGACTGGGAAAACTGACTGAAGTTTATAGGATTTGGCGTTCGTTGAGGCTGGCTATTCCGAAAACCACGAACGTAGCGTATCTGAACATGATACAAGTGCTTGTGAACTTGAAAGATTTACCTGGCGCAGAGACACTGTTCAAGGAATGGCAAGCGAACTGTTCTACGTATGACATCCGGGTTGTAAACGCGATGATTGGAGCTTATGCAAGAGAAGGTCTCATCGAAAAAGCGAAAGAGCTCAAGGAGAAAGCTCGAAGAAGAGGAGGAAAGCCCAACGCTAAAACGTGGGAGATCTTCATGGATTACTATGTAAAGAGTGGTGATACGGTTGAAGCACTCAAATGTATATCTGAGGCAGTTTCTGTCGGCAAAGGAGATGGTGGCAAGTGGTTACCGTCACAGGAAACAGTCAGAGCTTTGATGAGCCAATTCGAGGGAAAGAAAGATGTTAATGGAGCTGAGAATTTGGTGGAGATATTAAAGAAGGGAACAGATGATGTAGGCGCAGATGTGTTTGAATCTTTGGTAAGAACATACGCAGCAGCAGGAAAGAGCCCTCCTGCTATGCGCCGGCGCTTGAAGATGGAGAACGTGGAGGTTAATGAAACGACAAAGAAGCTTCTCGATGAAATATGTCAGGAAGAATGAGATATGTTCCTTCATTTTTTTTTTCTCCTTCAGGCAAGACATTATTACTGTGTAAGGGCACTTGCATTCTAAGAGCTCTGCTTCTTATTGCTAATAAAAATAGGATTTATTTATATGATTGTGAATCGGCAAATCAATCGTATGGGTCTGTTTTTCTTTTACCTTAAAGACTGTTTGTTCATGTTTTGTTTGTTTCTGTGAATTGTTTTCAGCTTTTAGCTTTGATCTACAGTTGAGAGGGTGAAACTTTCACAATGTAATCACCTTTTTAGAGATCTATCAAATTTTCGTCAAAAGAAACCAGAAACAAAAAAACCCATCAAAATGTTTTTTTAAATTGTAGATGCTTAAGAATAAGAAACTAGTGAGTAGTGAGGGTTGGTAAGATTCTTGAAATGGCTAAAAATTCTATTATAATTGGATTTTTGAAATGGCTAATTTTTTTTTTATTAGGCTAAGGCTCAGACCGAGGCTAAATCTGAGCTAAAACTGCTGCTAAACCCACTAGAACTTGAATAGCAATTACATGCTTACCCATGGATAGTTAAATGTTCCTCATGCCTTTAATGGGGGAAAACTATCAAAGATGTGAATAGCTATTTGAGATCTGCAAAAAAATTCTCAATGAAAACATCAGTCTTCTGATATCCAGAAAATCAAACCTTAAATTTTTGAAGCAAATGACATCTGTTCAGCATTCTTTTCCTGAAGTCTGATGCCTTTCTTGGACTCAAGGATACCCTCTTAAAATGGATCCGGAAGAATAAGTTTGTAAATATTTTGAATTTTCATCTTCTGAGTATGCAAAGGAATATTAATATGGCTCGTCTCAATATATGGATTCCCTTCAAGTGTTTACAATTAACTTTCTAGATTGTGGCAAAATATAATTGTATTTGTGGTTTTTTTTTGAACAATTTTTGGACCATGAAATTTTTGTTTCTGGGTTCTTATTTGTTAGAATTTGAATTTGATCAAATATTTAATGAAGTTGAATTTATCAGTCTGTTAAATTTTTGATGAATTTAAGTTTATCGTATCAATTTATTAGATTTTTGATAAATTTGAGTTTATTGTAGGGATTTGTTAGATTTTGGATGCATTTAGGTGATGGCTCTGTTGGATTTTTTTTTTTAAAATTTGAATTTATCACTGTTCAATTTTTTAAGATAAATTTAGATTTATGGTATGAATTTATTAGATTGCGGATGATATTGTATTTATTGCATTTTTATGATTTTTTTTCTTTCATAAAAACTGTTTTTTCTTTATTTATAAAGACTGTTAATCTTATTCGTTTTTGCATCTAGATTATGTATCATTTAGATATTATTCGTTTTTAAAACTAATTTTTGCCATCAGATACAACATTTGAATGTCATATTATTTGTTTATGTATTTATAAAAAAATATAGATGCAAACTATATTAGCTTAAACCGTTCTAGTCTACTTTTTTCTCAACCACCTAACCCTAGTACTTAGCTCAAAATTCAAGCAAATATCTACCTGAGAGTTTTCCTTGTCGGCTCCCTTATCTCTGCTTTCATCATCTCATTTCCTCCATTCTGCTGGGAAATCTATTGTCATGTAGTGGACTACGAACTGTAAAATCATTCAAAAATAATCAGTCCTCAGCAAATGATCAAAAAGATATAGTTTTCAATTCATTTATTTTATCTACAAGTAAAATTATTATTTTTAAAGATATTACAAATTAATAGTTTTTGTGGAAGTAGAGTTCGACATAAAATAAGGAAAATATAATTTTGGCGGAAAACTCATTTTTGGTGAGAAATATAATTTTTTGATTTTGTGGTTTTGGCAAGAAAACACCAGTTTATTGTTTTGACAAAAAAACTCAGTTTTATGGATTTGAGAAAAATTGTGGTTTCACGATTTTGGTAAAAAAAACTCGATTTTATGGTTTTCGGAGAAAACACAAATTTACAGTTTTGGTAGAAAATTCGATTTTATGAATTTGGCAAAAAAAATGTAATTTTATGATTTTAATGAGAAATTATGGATTTGGTTAGAAAACTTGGTTTTACGATTTTTGAAGGACAAACTCAGTTATACATTTTTGACAGGAAAATCCGGTTAGTGATTTTGGCGGAAAAACTCAATTTTGCATTTTAAGGAAAAAACATTATTTTGCGGTTCTGACAGGAAAAATACAATTTTGCATTTTTTATGGAAAGTTAAGTTTACATTTTTTTATAAAAAACTATAATTTTACTATTTTTATTTAAAATTTTGTTTTTGATGATAAGTAATAGTTTAGTTATATTTTTCTATTATATAAAATGATATTTTGGGTTTTGAGATTCAAATGCTATATCCCAATTTTTTTTTTTTTTTTTGCATTTCAAATATTTAAATTATTTTTTAAAAAAATTGATTTTGCATCCAAATACAGTATCCAATACCAAAACCAACAAAGTCTTAGTTTGTCTTTCTCTTTTTTTTTAAAAAAAAACTAAAACTCAGTTATACATGTTTAGTATGTCATCAAATTTTCGGCAAAAGAAACATCAAAAATTCTATCCAAAAGTTATTTAAATTTGTCGATTTAATCAGGATCCTGGAAATGTCTAAAAAAACTATTATAATTACATTAGATAAAAGAAAATACAATTTACATAATTGAGAATCAGTGTTTGAGGAATTAGTTAAAGTGTATTTGTGTGGTTCGATCATCTAATCAATGTAGCAAGAAACAAGCAATTAGTTCCCATCTTCCTCAGCTCATCTGCAGCGTTCTGAACGGTGTTAACCTGACGCGAATCAACAAACCCGTTGACACAAACGCCGAAATCCGAAACAGCCGCGGTCAAAAACATTTTCAGCGACAAATTATTTCGTTTCTTGATGCTGTTCTTCGCCTTCCGAAGATTGAAGGCCGCGTCCGTAAGAGTTGCGTAGCAAATTGAGACTTGTTGGTTCCCATTTTTGTACCTTGCAGCGTTTGCAATCGCCAATCTCGTCTTAGTCTCGAGGGCACAAATCATGCTGCGCGTGGCTCGTCTCGGACTCGAGCCTTTCACCATTGGCCGACACAAGGTCGGGTATGCAGTTTGGTCGCAGAGGCCCTTGAAACGCGCTTCTGCGGCTTGGTTTGCTGTCAAGAGGATCACGGTAACGGCGATGGTCGTGAGGTAGAGCTGGCTTTTGTTGCAGCCCGCCATAGTTTTCTTTAAATTGTTCTTTATAAAATTGGAAAGAAATTATCATGGGAAATTGTCTAATTAAGTTCCTCTCGCTATGAATAGAAATATATGTTTGGTTTCACAATATTATTGGTAGTGGTTGTTTTCTTGGGAAACTATATAACTTGATTGTTTGAGGTACAACTCCTTTTTAGGAGAAACTTATCCTCCGATAAGAGAGATTTGTACATTCATATTAACTAAGAGCATCCACAATTAGAGGTTTTCATAAGAGTTTCTTAATATAGTAATATATTTATATTTAACTAAACTGTTGATTTAAATTAATATGTTATTAGTGGGTTTCTCAACTTTTTTGATAAACCCATTCATAAAATATTAATTAAATCTAGATATACATATTAATAAATTAAATATGAATATATTTTTATGTTGAGAGACTCTTATAAAAAACTTTCATTGCAGATGGTCTAATCCGCACCGTCAATTCTCTCTTTACAAGCACAAATGTCATACAATACATTTGATTTATCGAAAAAAGCAAATTATAAGATAATCAGTCAAGTTTGCAATACTCATTTTTATTTTATTTTACTAGTTGTTTTCGTAATTAATTGTAGGCTTTTTCCTTTTTAAGAATAACAAACTAATAGCACGTAGGTAGAGTTTGAAGTGATCGATGGACAATCATCAACTTCCAACTCAATCACTTAAACCTTATTTTTATGGCTAATGTTTTCAGTGATGTGTATCGTCGTCTCGCCAGACCGGTATACTGTAGAAACTGCAATCTTTAAGTACATCGGTATGCCCGGTTTGTACTCGAACATGATGTGCTTGGCACTGTTTCTGCAGTCTATGTAGACACAGAGTATTGTTGTATACTATATGCAATTGTATTTGTATTTACAATCTTGTTTTAATAGAATCGTTTCTAGACTACTAGTTCCAAAAAACCCAAATTCGTAAAAAAACTTTATTTCTTCTTTACTTTTTTTTTTTTACTTTGCTCACTTGTTTGGTTTAATAATCATTTGACAACATAGATTTAGCCACATATCGCACTTTCATGTTGGAAAATGATGATGATTGTTGACATGAAATAATGATAACACTAAAATTAAGATATATATTTCCTTAAAAAACCATACAACTCTAAAAGAAGATAATAATACAATTAAATGTACATTTGAAATCCTACAAAGACTACAATTTGTCTTTATCCTGTAGCTGTTGAGTTTTGACTAGTAAATCATACAAATACACAACAACACCGAAACCAACGTAACAATGACGAGGTGGCGATCATTGCCTTACCTTCCATTACAAGCTGGTCAGTATTCGACGTATTTGTAATTTATTATTACTGACGCAGATTTTTGTCCGTTGGGATTCATCAATAATTTTTGTTTTCTTACAGATTTGGCTGTCCTAGTCACCTTATCTAGTTATATCTTATAAATTTACTTTTTTTGTTTGGTCTAAAAACAATTTTTAATTAATATATTGTCAATGATTATTCAAACTTTATTAAATTTTTCTTCGTGAGGTCCGAAATTTAAAAAATCCAAAAAGATGTTGAAAAATCAAACGGTGAGTGCTGATATGAAATCATCATTGACGTAAAAAAAATATAAAATTAGTTTTCTTCTAATCATAAAAACTTTGAAATTAATACTATCAAAATGTATGGAATTCAAAAATCCTAAGAAGACTACAATTTTTGTTTTTCTTCTTTTGACTAATAGAAAATTCCACACAGAAACACCCACTCCACTCTCTCCACTCCTATAAATCCCACTCGAATCTGCTTCTGCTTCTGAATCAACCAAAACCCAGTTTGCTTTGTGTCTTTTTTCCCTTGATTCATCATCAATGGCTGAAGCATGCAGAGTTCGGAGGATGAAGCTTGGGAGCCAAGGCCTTGAGGTTTCGGCTCAGGGACTTGGTTGCATGGGTCTCTCTTCCTTCTACGGCGCTCCGACACCTGAAACTAACGCCGTCGCTCTCCTCCGCCACGCCATTAACGCCGGTGTCACGTTCCTAGACACTTCAGACATATACGGCCCCGAGACTAACGAGCTGCTCCTGGGCAAGGTAAACAAATCTTGTGGATTTGAATTTGGGATTTGAGTTTTCAGGCTATGCTTTAGGGTTTAGTATTGGAGATAACTTGGAAAGCAAGAATTAGGGTGTCATTTACGGTTCATACCAATAATCCAGCTTTTACATTTGCTGACAGGCTTTGAAAGACGGGTTGAGGGAGAAAGTGGAATTAGCGACGAAGTTTGGGATCACTTCTTCTGAAGATGGAAAGTTTGGTTTCAGGGGAGATCCAGAGTATGTGAGGTCTTCTTGTGAAGCAAGCTTAAGGCGTCTTTGTGTTACCTCCATTGATCTTTATTACCAGCATCGGATTGATACCACTGTCCCCATCGAAGTCACGGTAATGGCTTCTTGGTCTCCCACTTTGTGTTCAAAAGTTACTGATACATCTCATAGATTGCTCTGTTTCTTGTGCTGGTTGTACCTTGTTCATGAAGAAACTAATGCCCTGTTTCTTGTGTTGATTTTGGTGAATCTGTTTTATGAAGATGGGAGAACTGAAGAAGCTTGTGGAAGAAGGTAAAATAAAGTATATCGGTTTGTCTGAAGCTTCAGCTTCAACTATAAGAAGAGCACATGCTGTTCATCCCATAACCGCTGTGCAAATAGAATGGTCCTTGTGGTCGAGAGACGTGGAAGAAGATATCATTCCTACTTGCAGGTGCGATTGAATCAGAATCAGAATCAGAATCAGCCATAACTGTCCTCTTCGTTTACATCTTTAAATCTCATCTCTTGTAATATCTCTAGGGAGCTTGGGATAGGAATTGTCGCTTATAGCCCTCTAGGAAGAGGTTTCTTTGCATCAGGACCTAAGCTTGTTGAGACTCTGGACCAAGATGACTATCGAAAGGCAAGTACATATGATTGATTCAGTTCTCTGGTCCGTAGAAACATTTCAAGATATAGAGTCATATGAGTATGTTACAGGGTCTACCGAGGTTCCAAGATGAGAATCTTGACCACAACAAGATTCTCTACGAGAAAGTCCAGGCGATGGCGACAAAGAAAAGCTGTACTCCTGCACAACTAGCCTTGGCATGGGTTCACCACAGAGGAGATGATGTATGTCCCATTCCAGGAACCTCCAAGATCGAAAACGTAAACCAGAACATTGGAGCTTTGTCCGTGAAGCTCACCCCTGAAGAGATGACTGAGCTTGAAGCCATTGCCCGACCGGATTTCGTGAAAGGGGAACGATATGACAACAACATGGTTACTTACAAGGACTCGGAGACTCCACCTTTGTCTTCTTGGAAAGCAGCATAAAACACATCTTTGGACTGCGGAAGTTTCTCTGTTCTGCTGAGTTTATGATCTGTTTGGTAACTGGTTTAAGGGTCTACATGATTAAGGCATTGGCCAAAATCACGGTCATATGATTGTGTGTGTGTAGTAACTGTGAATAAGTGTGTAATATGGTCTGCGAGTTTGCAATAAGAAAGAGGCAATGCCTAAGAAAGAAAAGTTTATGTGAGTGTGATGTGTCTTTTTAGGTTACTTGTGTTGCAATGTAATAAATGGATTATGAATGGTTTTGTCGTTGACTGCTTGTCACAGATCTTTCTTTTTAGGTCTTACGAGAAATTGATAAACAATAACAAAATAGGTTGAAGAGAAATGTAAGAGCTGCTTTTGAGGCGAGTTTAAAGCGTCTGGATGGGTATAAGCCCTCCTCTTCATGCGATGGTTTCAAATTTTCCAAGTTGCTTCATCTTTGGCTTTGGATATGATTGAGCTAATAGGTTCTTTGAAAACAGATTGGAGACAAATGAAATAAGTATGAATGATGAACTGAGAGCAAGAATAGAGAGATTGTGTGTTTTTGAATAGAATTTATTCTTTCTGATTTGATAATAATTGCATTTACTCATGTGAGTCAAACTGTTGCATTATTCCCAAATTCATTATGTAAATCGGTTGTTGGTGTTTCTCGTAAATTTTTAATTGTTAGTTTAGAGTTTGATTTAAGTTAAAACTTTTCACTTTGGTAAGAATGTGTTAACTTCGTTATTGGGCATTTTAGATTTTAATAACTGCTTAATAAACTTAAAATTCGTAAACCGGCAAATACCGTTGTAAAGAAAATTGTACAAATTATTTATGTACTTGGAAACAATTCGTCAACCATTGACTACTACAGTAGCTACGGTTAAAATGGCCAGGTTAATTACCAAACCAATCGCTTTATAAGATCAACTAGTAGCCGTAGTCAGACCGGTTTACTAGTCATAAATCGAATTGGATAGTTAATCAATTTATAAACCGTGGATTACTCCAATTTTCGGCTTATTTCATACACCAGCAAAGCTACAAGTGTCCCCACTACAAGCCAATTCAAGAGCCAAGACTCGATCGATCGATCAAGAGAGAGAGGTGTGAGAGAAATCCATGGCGACTTGTGAAGTGAGGAAGATGAAGCTGGGAAGCCAAGGCCTTGAGGTATCGGCGCAAGGTCTCGGCTGCATGGGCATTTCCGCTTTCTACGGTCCTTCGAAGCCGGAAACTGAAGCCATCGCTCTTCTCCACCACGCTATTCACTCCGGAGTCACTTTCCTCGACACCTCCGATGTCTACGGTCCCGAGACCAACGAATTGCTCATCGGAAAGGTTCGGATTCCGAAAATTCCCGATCTGCGAATTGGGGTCATCTTCTGTTTTGATTCGAGATGCTTTATATGATTGATTTTGGAGCAGTCGTCAAATGGAATTGGCCTTGATTCTTTGAGCTTCACAATTGTAGATATGATTTTTCATTGTTGAGATTGTTGAATTCCGTTAGGCTCTGAAGGATGGTGGAATGAGGGAGAAAGTTGAACTTGGTACTAAATTTGGAGCCACTTATGCAGAGGGGAAGAGAGAGATCAAGGGAGATCCTGAGTATGTGAGAGCTGCTTGTGAGGCTAGTTTAAAGCGTCTTGATGTTGAATGCATTGATCTCTATTATCAGCATCGGGTCGATACTCGTGTCCCTATCGAAATCACTGTAAGCCCTCCTCTTGCAAATCCTCATCCAGACCAAGTTTTCAAAGTTTCCAAGTTGGTTCATCTTTGGCTTTGGAAATGATTGAACTAATAGGTTCTTAGAAAGTAGATTGTGGACATATGATATATGGCTTATTTCACTTTATCCTCTGTTTGTGATATTGCTAGCTTATTCCCTGAAGGGGTTTTGTTCAATTATATGGTTGCTTCTGGTTTGCCACACGTACTGATCTTTAGAAAAGTTGCTTCATTTGACAATTTCTTTTTTGTCTGTCTACTCCAAGATGGGAGAACTCAAGAAGCTAGTCGAAGAAGGTAAAGTAAAGTACATCGGTTTGTCTGAAGCCTCTGCGTCAACTATCAGAAGAGCACACGCGGTTCACCCGATAACAGCCTTGTAGCTAGAATGGTCCTTGTGGACGAGAGACGTGGAAGAAGAAATCGTCCCGACGTGCAGGTATATTGAATTTATCACCTTTTCTTGGTGCAGTTCATGAATCATGTAGCATTAGCTCTTTCTTTCTCCAGGGAGCTTGGGATTGGGATTGTTGCTTACAGTCCACTAGGAAGAGGCTTCTTTGCATCAGGACCAAAGCTTGTTGAAAAGCTAGACAATGATGACTTCAGAAAGGTAAATTACTACTATTTGCATTCAATGAACCTTATAAACTGTAGATCTGCTCAACTCTGTTTCTTTTCTTTTTATAATCGGAGACTCTTCCAAGATTCCAGCAAGAAAACTTAGACCACAACAAGATTCTCTACGAGAAGGTTTGTGCGTTGTCGGAGAAGAAAGGATGCACTCCTGCACAACTAGCCCTCGCGTGGGTTCATCACCAAGGAAATGATGTTTGCCCCATCCCAGGAACCACTAAGATCGAAAACCTCAACCAAAACATTGGAGCTTTATCAGTGAAACTCACTCCCGAAGAGATGACTGAGCTCGAGATCATTGGCCAACCAGAGTCTGTGAAAGGAGAAAGATACACGGCCATTGTGCCCACCTTCAAGAACTCTGACACACCACCGTTGTCTTCCTGGAAAGCCGCTTAAAACCGGTTAGAAAGTTTCTCTGGTTATGGTTGTACTACATGGCATTGTGTCCACTTCATTCTTAGCTTGAGAGAGAGAGAGAGAGAGATGTTATATGACCTCTACGCTTAGCTTTATGTTTGCCAAATGAAAATTTAGGTTATGTGTAATTGAAAAGACGTTTGATGTCCTTTGTAGGCTTTAACTGTTGTCGAATGATGTTTAGTCTTAACTAAACGGCTGTTCCATTTTAAATGCCTTGTCTTGACAATATTCATTGCATAATAATGAAACTAATAACAGTTTTAATTATATATGCGATCAAAAACTTGGAGATGATACAGTTGAAGTTACAAGATATATTACATGATGATTCATAGAAGAAAAGGACATGGTTTTGGATTTGAAACTACAAATGCAAAACACAACTCAAAATTGATCATATGTCAAACAGAACCCCTTTCATTACATGTATCGATAAGAAACAAAAAAAAAAAATTATTATGATTATTTTTTTGTTTTTTGGGGATTTTTGTGAAAAAGAATAACGTATACCTAGACAAAATACACGATGATTAGTAGGATTTACTAGTAATAACATCGATAAGAACAGAGTCAGAAGCTATGTGTGTTCGATTATCTTGATCCTGTCTCCAGAAGCCAATCATCGAATGTGAGCTATTTGGAGGCATACTGGACATGTCACTGAAAATAGGAACTCAGAGACAAAGAATAAGCAGTGTCGATTGACACCACACATGTGTGTCAATGGACACCAATCGTGAGACGTGTACGTGAGTTTTATAAAATTTTGAAGATTTGCAAGATTGACCTAGAAGTTTCACTTATTGGCACATTTGTCCCACTCGTGTTATTGATTGTATTTAGATTTTTAGAATCATTGTTAGACGATTATCTTATTTTATATTGAGACTTAGAAAGAGGTTAGATAAGAAACTTTTGGGGTGATAAGTACGTACTCTCTTTTTTAGAAAAGAATTTTGAATTTCTTTGTATTTTTATTATGCAATTTTTTTTTTCATAATGTTTTCTCAATTCACCATATCCGAATAATTTGCTAATTAGGTTTGGGTTATTCGAATGTTGATGATGAATTGTTAGAATTGCAATACTGTTAGGATTAATCTTTTGGGTTTTCATGTAGACTGCATTAACACTGATTTTAAGATTGATCACCTAAAAATCAGATCTTAGGTTGATTAATAGATGTGAAAGTAAAATTAATCACCAAAACTATCTTAGATGAGCAAAATATATATTTACAAAAGAAATTTAGTTTAGAGATTTTGTGAATAATCGAACTTAAATTTTAATGTTTGTCTGAATTATTTGAATTTGCAAAGGAACTTGGGATTCTATGATTTAGACATAGATAATCTCTGCAACGAAAATTGGTTGATTTTATAATTATGTTTCGAGTTCTAGAACGGTTCTTAATAAATATCATGACAGTTTTCATTCTGCAATTTTGAATTTAACCTGAGAATACCTCAAGGCCTAGCAAATGTCTCTTTGATTTTAAAACCTTATAATCGATCATCTGTTGCTTTTCATTAGTTATTTGCATTTCATTTATATATTCTCTGAGCTAAATTTGAATATAAAGTCTGATATGTAACAATTTAAATCTCTTGAGATTCAATAAACCTTTAGATTTTTGTTTTGGTCAAACTTTTATTTGCATTAACTTAACAAAGTTTTTGCCCCAAACGGAGATGATACAACCAGCCACCAAGAGCCAAACATAGTAAAGCATTCACCCACACGTTGGTGGAGCACAAAAGGTAAAAACAACAACAATAACTCAAACAGAGATAGAATGATAAATGGGAGCTAACAAACTCAGCCAACGATAAACGAGAGCTAACAAGCTTAACCGAAGCAACATCCAAACAAGAGCAGACTGTGCTGTCTTGATTGAAACCACCAAGAGAAAAGAAACCACCAAGAGGAAAAAACACAGTCTCCATAGTCGAGAAAGTGAAGCCATCAGCACCATTAAATATTGAACAAGAGACTAATAGCCTCATGACTTTTGTTCTAAACAGAACTACTTTCGACACAATGCTCTCTGAAACAATACCACTCAAAACAAGTAAAATATATGGGAGGAAAACAGACTCCATAGAGGATAGATAGAGACTATAGAAGTCCAAAATCTGATTCAATGGAAGAGGGCTACTAAGACAATCGTTCTTCCGAACTGCCACTTCAGAAAGGAACTTGAAACTTCCGTCAAATTGAAAACGGGACAAGCCCTGCATACTGCAGTAAAGAGCCGCACTGAGGCGGAAATGAAGATATCCAGACTCTACAACACAAAGCGTTTCCCATCCAGTAAACGGCTGTTCCAAGACTGAAGAAACAAAAGACGAATAGTAGGAGCAAACCTGGGGGAGAGGGAGAGACAGAACGGCTTCGAGGCGAGGGGGTGGAGAGGCGGCATCAATGCTTTCGAGGTGGAGAGGCGGTAAGAAAACGGGACTGCATACTGCAGAAGGAGGGCACCCAAACACCAATAGTGAATCCCTAGAGGATACAAGGAAAGCAAGCTCTCAGACGAGCCGCGGAAAACCTAGATCCAGATTAAGGAGGGGGACAATCGGGGTATTGAAGACATCAGAGACAGAGAACAAGGGATGTGTGAGGGTGGTGGCCAGATCTGGAGGATCTGGTGGGTCAGGAGGTTCAACGGAAGCTAGCCCTCCGCACAGATCTGGTGAGAGCTTACCTGGCGGTGGATCTGGAGGAGGTTTGAGCAGCGGTGGTGGAGGAGCAAACAGATATGAAGCCATGGGAGAAAGGAAGAGGGGGAAGGAAGGAGAAGATTCTCGTCAGCGGTGACAGGCCACACCGACGGCGGCAGAAGGAAAAATCCTAAATCGTCATAATCGCCTTTTTTGAGAGAACGATGCTTGTTCGGAATCTTCAATGACCCCTAAGATTATAATTGCTTTGTTATGCACTTGCAGTAATATTATTTGGATAGAACTTTACACCTAACAAGATACCTCTGAGCATGTATGCATGTGAGACACTGATACACTTAAAACTCGCTAGGGCCAACTTGCTTTATGTCAAGTCCATTTCTTTGTCTTGTCTCAAGACCCTGGATTTGTAACTTATGATATTTTCCGATGAGACCACCCTGGAGAAACTGATCTCATGCTCTCCAGTTCTAGAAGATTTAACAGTCAACAGATATGAGGCTGATAAATTGGGTGTTTTACAAATACGCTCAGAGTCACTGAAGAGATTCTCTATAACTCACTCTAGGTGATTATAATGAACTGAGGGGATTGTTATTGATGCTCCTATGCTCCAGTTTTTGAGGATTAAGGCTCGCTCAATAAAGAGGTTTAAAATCATTGTAAAAATAAATAAAAGTAACCGAGCCGTTCATTATATGCTACCTCTTTTCTCTGTTTCTCCTCGTTTTTTTAAACTTCTCCTTAAAAATATTAACATTTAGAGCGCTAGGTCAGATAATGAATGGCTCGTTTAACACTTGTGTGCGGATTCAGCCGACTTATCCAAAGATAGAAACATTATAAAAAAATCTCACTGGTATTTCAAAGGACACAAATCTAACCATTGCTCATGATATTGTCAAGATATGTATATACATTATACATGTGAATATTTTGAGGAAATAATTCCATGAAAAAATGGATCATCAACATTCTTTCTTATTTTCTCTGTTTTGTATCAAAACTGGAGACTAGGACTTCATGTTTAGGTTTTTTGGACTATTGTTGCACAATAAAATCCTTTTTTGGACATTTTCTTTGTGGGTGATTTCTTGTGATTTGTTATATTTTGATGAATTTGTTAAATTTTTGATGAGTTTGGGTTTATCGCTTATTGAGTTTTCCATAAATCTGAGTTTATGGAATGAATTTGCTAATTTTTTTAATAAATATTGGTTTATTGTATGAATTTTTTAGATTTATGATAAATTTGGATTTGTCTTATAAATTTGTTAGATATTTGAAGAATTTTGGTTTATGGCTATATTGGGTAACTTGGGATTATCATATTAATTTATTAGATTTCTAATGAGTTTGGGTTTATCACATTTTTTCATATTCGATTCCCCTAATCTCAATTCACTCAGGCTATTAGGATGTTGAAGATGCAGCAGGGATGAAACACGCAACACATACACCATAAGATGAGTGAGATCATGAAGATTTGGAAAGCGACTTACACGAAAGAAAAAATGACGTGACAAGAAGGCTTTCACAAGATCTTTTCGTATATTGTAGTAGTATATGCAAAAGGTGGAGAGAAAATGAAACTAAGGCTCAAGATTAAGAAAATTAGGTTTTGCTAGTTCTAGGGACTTAATATACAGGGGGTTAAGGTTAGAAGGAAAAGGTTAACACTTCTCATCTAAGCAAAAGAGAAAACGGCGCCTAGAACTTTTGACAATTCACAAAAAAAAGTTTTGAGGTTAGTGTTCGTATTGGAGTAGAACTAGAATCACGTGTTGTGAGTTCTAGTTTAAGTTTATGATCTGTTGGTACAATCTAGAGTTCTAAAGTTATGTAAATCCAAACTAAGTGTAATCGTGAAAAGATTAACTTATTGATTTAAGTGAATAAAAACATTCATCTTGATGCTGTCCAAGACATAGAAATCTGTGTTGTTCTGTTTCTGTTTGCAACTATAATATTTTGAAGTCTACAAAAATTACATTTTGAGGCGTTCAAATATATGAATTGTGACAAGGAATAGCTATATATACGCTGCCAAAAAAAAAAAGCTATATATACACTGCAAATTTCTATAATTGTTTTCACTTTACATATTGTTGATTGTTTGTTGTCGAAAATAGCTGCAACTCCAAATCTCAAAAATTTGATCATAAGAGAGAGATTGAAGCGTTTACAACTTGGGAATAGTATAGAGTTAGGGTGCAAATATTTAGATAAACAAAATTTGATAGAATTACAAATTCTTCTAAATTTTATTATTTAAATTGAAAAGAGTTGAAAAATGTTTTACCTTATTCCATCCAAAAAAAGTTGAAAATTGAACTAATTATAAAGAAATTATGTTCAATTCATTCCTCCACTATTTTTGAAGAGGAACTCATTCCTCTAAAATTCAGTTCATTTTTTCCTCTACTATTTATTCTATTGGTACTTTTGGTAACAACCATTTGCATCCTTATTTTTAAGTTAGCAGCACACCATTGAGTCATTTCCAAAATTTGGGAAATCAAATATCTGTAAAATTCTGGGAATGCTAGTTAGTTTTAAAATGTTTGATTGACAATTGAGTTTTTTTTTAATATCTAAATTATTTTATTAATATAGAAATTACAGTTCTTATTTGCAACATCGAATTATACAAAGTTAATACAAAAACTACAAAAGCTAAAAATCACATAAACAAATATATATAGGCCATATGCTAAAGATAATTACAACAAATAAGTGTATATTGACAATGATTTTATTGAAATTTTTACTGGCAAATGGATTACACTCCTTGTTAGAGCATATCCAAGAGACTCTCTATAACTTCAAATATAAAGTTTGTTGCATTTCAAGAGAAACTTTAAAACTTCAAAATTTAAAGTTTTGAACAGTGAAACGTCAAATTTAAATATTCACTGTTCAAGACATCAAATTTAAAATTTCACCTTTTTATTTGCATTTCAGTCACTCTAATTATATACTATATGAATATTTATATTTTAGTTGTGTTGTTTATCACTTTAGTCCATATAATTTCAGTATTTAATATCTATATATATATATAATTTTTGTATACAGATTAAATAAAAATCTTAAAATTAATTTAGAAGAAATATTACATATTATTATAAATATTTTTTATTACACAACAAAAAATATATATAAAGCAAATTTAATACAAAATAAAGTAATACAAGAAAATAAATTAGATAAATAAATAAATATTACACAAATTGAAATATTACAATAATATTAATATTCATGTAACTTTGAAATGCATTGATTGATCATATATGGAAGCACTACAGAAATAGTTTTATTGAATAATTTGATATTTTATTTGTAATTTATAATTTAGTATGTATATATTATGTATTTTTATACTATTATGTAATGTTTTATTAATTAATATTGGTTGTAATCTTTTTATATGTATGTTTTAGTTATTTATAAAAGTTTTATGATGTTAATTAATTATTATCATATTGAGGACTATAATGCAAAATGTAAATAGTTTAGAAGTTTTTTTTTAAGTTTACCATTGAAGAGTAACACCTCGGAAATTCAAATTTGAAGTTCCCAAACTTCAAATTTGAAGTGTCTATTGGAGATGCTGTTAGAATATGTACAATGCAAATTTCTAAGTATAGTATCTTAACAAAATAAATTAATAAACTAATAAAAAGTAAGAAATAGAAAGAAGGATTAGCTCTTAATTTTTTTATTTAAGAAACAATTCTAAACTTTTAAGAAAATTCTTTAATATGTGGTATCTTCTGATTGGTTTAGATTTTTTTATGATTTAAAAATTAATATATTTTTTTTAAGATACCTTCTAAATTTTTTAGCATTGTACATACTTTAGTAGCCAATTTTTAGATAACAATTTTTAGATAACAAGTTTTTACTGGCAAAGAGATTAACTCATTTTATTTCCTTAATTACCATTATTCTATTTATTTGTATCCTATATTTTTAAATTCTTCTAATTCAGCATATTCATAAAATTAAAAAAAAATTAGTATACAGTTACAGTGTACTTCTTTTTGGTTAATAAATTCCATTGTAGAGATAAAAAAAAAAGTGTCGGCACTCACCTTAGAGTTTCTCCAAGAGACACTTTAGATTTAAAGTTTAGAGGTATTACTCTCCAATGGTAAACTTCAAAAAAACCTTTAAAACTATTTATATTTTGTATTATAGTCCTCAATATTAATAATAATTAATTAGCATCAGAAAACTTTTATATATAACTAAAACATACATATAAAAAGATTACAATTAATACTAATCAATAAAACATTACATAATAATATAAAAATACATAATAGATATATACTAAATTATAAATTACAAATAAAATATTAAATTATTCAATAAAACTATTTCCATAGTGCTTTCATATATAATTAATCAATGTATTTCAAAGTTACCTAAATATTAATATTATTATAATATTTCATTTTGTGTAATATTTATGTGTTTATCTAATTTATTTTCTTGTATTACTTTATTTTGTATTAAATTTATTTTATATATAATTTTTGTTGTGTAATAAAAAATATTTATAATAATATGTAATATTTCTTTTAAATTAATTTTAAGATTTTTATTTATGTGTTTATAAAAGTATAAAACTGCAGCCAATCACTCCAGTCAAATTCACAACTCTACAAGAGTTACAGAAAGAAAGGTGTGAGCGAAATCAATCCATGGCGGACTGCAGAGTGAGGAGGATAAAGCTGGGAAGCCAAGGCCTTGAAGTATCGGCGCAAGGTCTTGGTTGCATGAGCCTCTCCGCCTTCTTGAGTATTCCGGCGCCGAAAACTGACCCCATCGCTCTTCTTCATCACGCCATTGACTCCGGCGTTACTTTCCTTGACACCGCTAACAGCTACGGTCCCGAGACCAACGAGTTGCTCCTCGGCAAGGTTCGGATTTCGAAATCCCCAATCTCCGATTTTGATCACGCCTTTGTTTGATTTTCGCTAATCGAGATGATATTTTCTACAAATTTTCTGAGATTTTTTTTCTGAGTTCTGTTCTCTTTGAGGCAAACGAAGATCTTGGATTTGCGTCCGATTATTTGAGCTTCGTAGCTGTAGAAAATGACTCCATTGTTGCGATTTTGAATTCTATCAGTTTCTGAAGAATGGGATGAGGGAGAAAGTGGAGCTTGCGACCAAATTCGGAATCATTTATGCCGCTGAAGGAAAGAGAGAAATCAAGGGAGATCCTGAGTATGTTAGGGCTGCTTGTGAGGCTAGTTTGAAGCGTCTTGATGTTGAATGCATTGATCTCTATTATCAGCATCGTATAGATACTCGTGTCCCTATCGAAATCACTGTAAGCCTTCTTTCACAATCCTATTTCATGCTATGGTTTTCAGATTTGCTATAATAATAGTTCAGTGAGCATCGCATCTTTGGCTTGGGGAATAGATTTGAGAGAAAGTTTTTACACTTGTGCCAAACTTTCTGAAATTGCTTAGCTTATTGATCAAGAAGTAAGAACCAATGGTTAAGGAAATGATCTTTTACTGAGAGAATTTACGGCATTCTCATCTATCCTCGTCTATCATTTAGGGTTGGTTTCTGGAATTGCCTAGCTTATTCATCAAGAACCAATGGTTATGAAAATGATCTTTGACTGAGAGTCTGGGAGAATTTACGTCATTCTCATCTATCATTTAGGGTTGCTTCTGACCTGTAATTGCTTTGTGGAACTTACATGACCTTTATGGAAACTTAACAACTTCTTTTGTCTGTCTAATCCAAGATGGGTGAACTGAAGAAGCTAGTTGAAGAAGGTAAAATAAAGTACATCGGTTTGTCTGAAGCTTCGGCTTCAACTATAAGAAGGGCGCATGCGGTTCACCCGATAACCGCTGTGCAGCTTGAGTGGTCCTTGTGGTCGAGAGACGTGGAAGAAGAAATCATCCCGACCTGCAGGTAAAGGAGTTAATGCAGATTTGCTCCTCTTTTTCTTGATGCACTATGCATCAATCATGTTAACATCATCTTCTCTTTTTTCCTTCTTCAGGGAGCTTGGGATTGGAATTGTTGCTTACAGTCCTCTGGGACGAGGTTTCTTTGCATCAGGACCTAAGCTTGTTGAGAAGCTAGACAAGAATGACTTCAGAAAGGCAAGTGTACAAAGGTTTCTGTTTGATCGATGAACCTTTTATAGGTAAAGCCGAGGATGTGACTGTACATTTACTCAATTCAAATTCTTATCGCAGACTCTTCCAAGATTCCAGCAAGAAAACTTAGACCACAACAAGATTCTTTACGAGAAGGTTTATGCAATGTCGGAGAAGAAAGGATGCACTCCTGCACAACTAGCACTCGCGTGGCTACATCACCAGGGAGATGATGTTTGCCCCATCCCAGGAACCACCAGGATCGAAAACCTCGACCAGAACATCGGAGCTTTATCAGTGAAACTCACTCCCGAAGAGATGGCTGAGCTCGAGACCATTGGCCACCCAGATTCTGTGAAAGGAGAAAGATACAGCAATGCCGTGCCCACCTTCAAGAACTCAGACACTCCACCGCTGTCTTCTTGGAAAAGCGTGTAAACAGGCTGCGTTTCTCTGGCTTATGACATTGAAGCAGTTTAACTTCTGTCGGCGAGATCAAGGTAATTGATGCGTATCAGTAAGCTGTCGGCGAGAAAGTGACTGCAGAGAAAGAGAGCATAAAGGTTGAGAACGAAGCAAGATTCTCGAGCTGCAAAGGCTAAACAAGGAGGCGGAGAAAGAGATAGCTGAGAGTAAGTCTTGTGAAGCAACGATTGTTCAACAGCTTCAAGATGTGGAGGAGATTCAGTTTCAGAGAAATGCGTCTGCTCCATGGTGAAATGTTATATGACCTCTAACCTAAGCTCTGTTTTGCCAAATGAAAACCCATCCAAATTGATTTTCCTTTAAAAACTCAGTAACAAGAATTTCTTCCCCTAATTTAAAGTCAAATAAGGCTCCACCATTCAGTTAGCTGCTTCTTCTTCTTCGTGTTGTTTTACAAGTAAAATTTTTACGCTAATTCAAATTATAATCGTATTTATAGGTTATTATTGGGTTTTTAGACCAATTTTACATATTAAATTTCTTATTTTTTAGTTTTTTTCTATTTTTTTATAAAATAATTTTTTAGACTGTGATTTATTAAAATATTAAATTTGTTAGGATTTTCATAAATTTGAGTTTATTGTATGAATTTATTAGATTTTTGATCAGATTTGCTATTTTCTTTTTTGTTTTCAGCGAATTTGTATGAATCATGTACGAGTCATGGGGATCAAAGTATCCCACAGAGAGTCGAACTCTGCCACACAGCGTTCCATTCTTCGCTGGAGTTCCATCTCACCACTAAATTCTCGTTATCCAATAGCTATGCCTCCACCTTTGGAGATCTCTCGCCTCTTCTTCATGTTATACCTGTTGACCAGATGAAGCCGTTCTTATTCTCAGATCGGATAAACGAGACTCTCGCAAGAGATCTCTAAGGTTCCGTAATCATTCTCCAGAGGTATTGCATCAGCAACCCACACATAGCTTCTTTTGGCTTTGGTATGCTCCGTTTCGCTCGGTTTTAAAAAATCCGAGCTCGAATTCTTCCTTCCTAAAAATCAGAGTTCGTCCGTTTGACGGCAAAAATACTTCTGAACCCTGTGTTATATAAAGGTAAATTTGTTATGCTAATTCAAATATAATCGTATTTGTGAATGATTTTTGGGTTTTTTGGACCAATTTTGCACATTAAATTTCTTCTTATTTAGTTTTTTTTCTATTTCTTAGGTTGTGATTATTAAAATCTTGAATTTGTTAGGATTTTGATGAATTCAGGTTTATCGTATGAATTTATTAGAATAAATTTTTTTAGGTTTTGTCTATTTTCTACATCGCTCTCTTAGTTTTCATGCCTCCCACCATTTTTTTCCTATTTCATAAACACGAGGACAAAAGTAGAATGAGAGATTTTAGGTTTTGCCACGACTGGTAATCGGTATATATATAGGGGAAATCTCGTTTCTGTCCTTTTTTCTAACAATTCAGTAACTAATCGCCTATGTGGGCTTAGTCCAGGCCCAATAGTATATTTAAAAACAAATTATTAACCTTAAAAAATATCCTAAATTAATAATTTATAAATACTTCATCTGTTTCATAAAAAAATATCATTTTGACATATTTCATACAAATTAAAAAAAATATTAAAAAAATTGTTTTACCTTCATTTACATACAAAATAACATATTTTCTTAATTAAAATATTAATTAGTAAGATTAAAACTGGATTTTTGTTTTAAATTCTGCATTGCATTGAAAATGTAACATAATAGTCTTTGTGAAACAAAAATGAAACCTTAAAATGATTTTTTTTTTAAATGGAGGAGTAAGTATTTTTTTTTGGAACACGGCAATGGTGAGAGAACAGCTTATCAGCTTGATAGAGTCAAAGACAAAAAAAACATGATGCAGCTAAAAAAAGGGTAATACCACTAATTAACAAAAGACTGGTACTAAATTAAGAATATAGCAAAACCTATTTATAAGTTTAAATATGAAATTAATTAACCACATATTCAGACTATTATACTCTCACATTTCTCACCCGCTCTGAACATTTTTTCGTTCAGCCAAAATTATTAATAGATGTCTAAATGGTGTCTATCAAAGATTAATAATTAAAGATCTGGACACAGATATGCCGTCTTCTTCTGTTATTAATTCGTTTTCCCAATTCACTCTTGCGACACCACTTTCATCTTCCTTCGACACCGCTTTCATCTTCTCTCTGCCGACAATTTTTTGATTCTTTTTGCCAATAATTTCTTGATGTATACATGTATTCTCTCTTTTGACTTTCCTCTCCAAATCTCAACATTTTAGTAGATTTGGTAAGATTTCAAAAGAAATATAGTTAAAGATGAAGAATCTTGTCCAACTCGATCTCTTATCAAATGAATTCTTTGATCTGATGCCTAAAATTTTTGGAGAACTTGGATTCATCTTCGGTACTCTCAATCTCTCTTTTAATTGTTTATACAATCACACACACACTATATATATATGTCTAATATAATATATAACTCATTTTTTCATACATAATAATAAATACATGTATATATAATTAAATGTAATGTTATATGTTTTTTATCATGTTAACTTATTTCATTTTCATATAAGCTATATCTATAACTTTATATAAAAGTCTAAAATAATTAATATATGTCTATATTGTCAAATGTAAAGTTATATGTTTTTGGGACATGTTAACTTATTAGTTTTATTAGATAAGCTATATCTATAACTTTATAATTAGGTTTAAAATAATATATATATATATATATATATTTTTTTTTTAAATGTCAAGTTATATGTTTTTTTAATATTTTGATTTATTTTTATATCATGTTAATATAAATGTATATCTATAGTATTTTATTTAATTTGTTACTTTTATTAGTTAACATGATAACTTTTGTCTTAATGTATGGATGCTCTATATATAAGTAGCCGTGTATAATACATCATAGCATTAACTCTATAGAATACGATAATATAATTTGAATATAATACAACATATTATCATTGGTGTTGGTTTCCCAAGCACTGTATATATCCAAACATATAGTATTAATTACAGATGAACATATTATAAGTTAAATTTCTATATTTAGATATTTAGGCTTATTATCAACCAAAATAAAATTAAAGCGTTTTCTGGTTATATTTATCTAATATCACATTTATGTGTCCACAATACAAGTCATTTAATTTAAAATAAATTCTACGCGCACCTGAATGGCAAGTATGTAATTATACAAGATAATTTTTTATTTTTTGGTATCTATTTGTCAATTTCTTCAAGCCTATATTGATTTTGTGATTTTCCTAAATAAATTCTTAAACCTTGCCATCTATTATCCCTAAGAAAATCAACATTGTTCTGTTCCAAGATTTCCTGGTTCGGTCTTCTTTTTTCTTTTTTGTACAATTGCATCTTTGTATCATTACTTATTGATATATTTGAAAGTTGTATCTTTTCATTTTTTTTTTACTTTTTCATTTCTAACCATATCAACTACATAATTTTTTTTTGGAGGGTTGCATTTTTTTACTACCACTCTTTGATACTTTAAAATTTTTTTATCTTTTCACTTCTAAGTTCTAACTATATCAACTATATAATTTTTTTGGATATCATGTTTATCTACAGTAGAAAATTGATAAATTAATACTCGGTAAATTAATAAATTTTTCTGGTCAAAATATAATACAAATCGATCAGATAATAAGATAATAATTTTTAAAACAAATCTATGTAAATATAATATCATGAATTAATCATTACCATAATAATGATCTTATATATATAATTATTATAACTTATTAAAATATAAATATATTATTGTTTTTAAATAAAATTGAAATAATTATATAATTCTTCTATAATTTAAAAGTGAAATGTTTAAAAAAATATCATAAATTTTCTAAATAAATAATATTTTTTACTTAATTATTAATAAATAATTTATTTAATTTAAAACTGATGAATTAATAACTTTATAAATTAATAAAATAGAAAAATCCTAACATAGTTTACTGTATCATCATTGTTTTGATCCAAATATTTTCATGCATAATTTTAGTAATACTTTTATTTTAAAATTTAATGTTTGTTTTTTTCTTACGCAATTTCAAAGGTTCAAATCCTAGGGGTTATGATAAAAACAAACAACTAAAAACTTTTTTGAGATGATAACCAAACCAAAACGAAAATTATAAATTGATTCCAATCTTCAAAACTTATACTGAACCAAATTGATTTTCTCACTAACAACAATTTCTTCGCCTAGTTAAAATCAAATAAGGATCCACCATTCAGTTGGATTCTTCTTCTGTTTCATGTTGTTTCACAAAGTGAATTTCTTACTCTAATTCAAAATATAATCATCTTTGCAGGCTATTCTTAAGTTTTTTGGACCAAATTTGCAGATTAAAGTTCTTATTTTTTTTGGTGGTGATTTCTTAGGTTGTGATTTGTTAAATATTTGATTTGTTAGGATTTTGATGAATTTGGGTTTATCGTATAAATTTATTAAACTTTTGATCAAACTTGCTTTTCTCTTTGATCTCCAAATCTCTTTGATGATCATCACACAGATCCTTAAAAATTGTCAAGAAAGATGTCATAGAGTCGATAGTCTCCGTCAATTTTTCAGGATTCTCTCATCTGATAAGAAAATCGTCCTCCCACCACAACCTTAACCCTAAACCCTTGCAAATCAAGCAAATGGAGGACGATTTTCCCTCCATTTGTATTTATATACTACAAAAGTGGACACAAATATACAATTTATTTCCTAAACCTATAATCTCTTCTACCTTAATAATATATTTTCGGAAAAAAATTAACCTATGATATAAAATGTCCCAAAATAATAATTTGAGGACGATGACAAGAGAAGTCAGCTTATCCGCTAGATGGAGTCAGAGACAAAAACATGATGTAGCTAAAGAAAATCAACACTGGTGCCGGCGAATTCACCAAAGCTGGTTGGTTCGGCTTGTTTTACCAGTTTTTCAATTCAATTTTTAATATTTTAAATACAACTGAAAATGATACGAATTAAAGATGATTGAATAGCAAATGGTAAACTGATTTGTATTGGCTGCAAAATACAAATCACAAAGAAGCGAGAGAGAGTTGTGTGAGAGATCCATGGCGGAAGCTTGCGGGGTGAAGAGGATGAAGCTGGGAAGCCAAGGCCTTGAGGTATCGGCTCAAGGTCTCGGCTGCATGGGTCTCTCCGGTCACTACGGTCCTTCTATACCGGACAATGACGCCATCAATCTCCTCCACCACGCTATTCACTCGGGCGTTACTTTCCTTGACACCGCCGACATGTACGGTCCTCACATGAACGAGCTGCTCCTTGGCAAGGTTCGGTTTCTGCCACTGATCTCGTTTCCTCTATTAGATTGTTGAACTTTTGAAATCTGGCCAGGCTTTGAATAATGGGATGAGGGAGAAAGTGGAACTTGCGACCAAATTCGGAATCATTTATGACGCAGAGGGAAAGATAAACATAAAGGGAGATCCTGAGTATGTGAGAGCTGCGTGTGAGGCTAGTTTAAAGCGTCTCGATGTTCCCTGCGTCGATCTTTATTACCAGCATCGGATCGATACTCGTGTCCCTATAGAAATCACTGTAAGCTTTCTTACTCTCAAATTGAATTGGAATGTTATAATAGTTCAATACTTCAACGTGTAGGAGTTTATCTTTGTTTGCTTCACATATTCGAAGAAAATCGATTTGTTTGCGACAACACTTGCTTGACTTGAACATTTTATTTATGTTTGTCAACTCCAAGATGGGAGAAGTGAAGAAGCTTGTGGAAGAAGGTAAAATAAAGTATATCGGTTTGTCTGAAGCTTCAGCTTCAACTATAAGAAGAGCACATGCTGTTCATCCCATAACCGCTGTGCAGTTAGAATGGGCTTCCAACCTAAAACCAATTGGTTTTGGTGGATTGACCTATGTTTCTTATATATTAGTCGGGTTGGATTGTTTGGATCGGGCTCTGATACCATGTTAAAATTACATGGGCTTCCAACCTAAAACCAATTGGCATTAAGTGAATTGACTCATGCTCCTTATATATTAGTTAGGATCCCTTCCAACTTCCGATGTGGGATATTATCCCTAATATTAACTTCATGTTCTTTTTTTCTTTTTCTTTCATAAGGGAGCTTGGGATTGGGATTGTTGCTTACAGTCCACTAGGAAGTGGCTACTTTGCATCAGGACCAAAGCTTGTTGAGCAGCTAGACAATGATGACTTCAGAAAGGTAAGTACATATGATTTGTTTGATTGATGGACTTTAGGATGAGCTGTGGATACATCAACTCACTGTTTATCTGCTCAACTCTGTTTCTTGCTGCAGACTCTACCAAGATTCCAACAAGAAAACTTGGACCACAACAAGATTCTTTACGAGAAGGTTCATGCAATGTCGGAGAAGAAAGGTTGCACTCCCGCACAACTAGCCCTCGCGTGGGTTCATTACCAGGGAGATGATGTTTGCCCCATCCCAGGAACCACCAAGATCGAAAACCTCGATCAGAACATTGGAGCTTTATCAGTGAAACTCACTCCTGAAGAGATGTCTGAGCTTGAGGCCATTGCACAACCTGGTTCTGTGAAAGGAGAACGATTCAACAACGCCGTGCCCACTTTCAAGAACTCAGACACTCCACCATTGTCTTCTTGGAAAGCCACTTAAGTGACATTGAAGCAGTTTTAACCTGTGTCAGCGAGATCAAGGTAATTGGTGTGTTGCGTCTTCGAGGGTAGATTATCATTATTCACAGGGAAACCCGAATATCAGTGTTAATGCATTGAAGAATCCTCAAAATATCCAATGCTCAATAGTCACAAGTAACAAATTTCCATTCACAAGTAACAAATTACATATATAGACTATATATTATGAACTTTTTATGCTTTTTACCTATGACTATTTTTAGTTTTTTCTTTACTTCCACTATCTTCAGACACACTGTAAAGATGATTCTACGAATAGTGACACTTGTTTGGTCATTGTGATCAGATGTAACCTCTCCAAGAATGAATTTGTTACTCACCGGCTCAACAAAAACTTATTAAAAGACAACATTAAAGCCTTTTGTGACAAAAGCAACCTAAGGAAGATGAAGACAAGATCCTCAACTAAGCTTAAGACAAAAGTCATGAAATCAATTAAGCCAAAAGAAAACAAGAACATCTATTGCGGCAAGAAAATTCAACACATGATAAATCCTTTGAAAACTCCAAAGAAGGCATGACTTTACTCTCAAGACACTACTCCAAATGCTATTCAAGACACGTAGAAAGTTTTCTCAACAAAATCTTTTATATAAATAGATTAGTCAATCTAGTGGAAGAGGCATAAGCAATATCTTGAGAGACCAACTGCAAATTTTCTTCATTTTAATCAAGCAAGTTTCTTTTTTTTTGGTGTAAACGTTAAGACAGTCAAGTAAGTTTTTGATAACACAAATTTTAATCATACAACTATTTCTTCTTTTGATTTTTCAAATATACTATTGTTTTAGTCTTTCCTAAAGCGATTCTTCACCAATCAGAGACAAAAGCGTTTCTTTCATCATCACCAACTCCAATAATAACTTCACTAAAGTCACATATTCACAAGAGTCACATTAAGAAGCTGAGGAGATTGAGAGAGAGAGAGAGAGAGAGAGAGAGTTGTGAGAAAGATGGCAAAAGCTTGCGGAGTTAAGAGGATGAAGCTGGGAAGCCAGGGCCTTGAGGTATCAGCGCAAGGCCTTGGTTGCATGGGCCTCTCCGCTCGCTACGGTCCTTCTCAGCCGGACGATGACGCCGTCGCTCTCCTCCACCACGCTATTCACTCCGGCGTAACTTTCCTTGACACCTCCGACATGTACGGTCCTCACATCAACGAGCTGCTCCTCGGCAAGGTTCGGTTTCTGCCACTGGTCTTGTTTCATGTATTAGATTGTTGAAGTTTTGAAATCTGATCAGGCTTTGAAGAATGGGATGAGGGAGAAAGTGGAACTTGCGACCAAATTCGGAATCATATATGATGCAGAGGGAAAGATAAACATAAAGGGAGATCCTGCGTATGCGAGAGCTGCTTGTGAGGCGAGTCTAAAGCGTCTAGGTGTTGCGTGCGTCGATCTTTATTATCAGCATCGTATAGATACTTGTGTCCCTATCGAAATCACTGTAAGCTTTCTTACTTTCAAAATGAAACGGTATTGGAAAGTTGGAACCTTTAGCTGAACTTAGCGTTTCTCTTTTTTGTCTGTCAACTCCAAGATGGGAGAAGTCAAGAAACTTGTTGAAGAAGGTAAAGTAAAGTACATCGGTTTGTCTGAAGCTTCAGCTTCAACTATAAGAAGAGCGCATGCTGTTCACCCGATAACCGCTGTGCAGCTTGAGTGGTCCTTGTGGTCGAGAGACGTGGAAGAAGAAATCGTCCCGACCTGCAGGTATCTTGATTTCATCCTCCTTACTTGATGCACACTATTCATCAGTTATGCAACTCCATGTTCTATCTTTCCTTCGTTAGGGAGCTTGGGATTGGGATTGTTGCTTACAGTCCTCTAGGACGAGGCTTCTTAGCAGCAGGACCCAAGCTTGTTGAGAATATGGACCAAGATGACTTCAGAAAGGTAAGTCCATCGTCTTTGTATGATTTGTTTGATTGATGAACTTTAGATGAGCTGTGATATATCAACTAAACTCTGTTTCTTATTGCAGACCCTTCCAAGATTCCAACAGGAGAACTTAGACCACAACAAGATTCTCTACGACAAAGTTTGTGCGATGGCTGAGAAGAAAGGATGCACTCCTGCACAACTAGCACTCGCGTGGGTTCACCACCAGGGAGATGATGTTTGCCCCATCCCAGGAACCACCAGGATCGAAAACCTCGACCAGAACATTGGAGCTTTATCAGTGAAACTCACTCCACAAGAGATGACTGAGCTTGAGGCCATTGCACAACCAGGTTTTGTGAAAGGAGAACGATACAGCAAAGCTGTGCCCACTTTCAAGAACTCAGACACTCCACCATTGTCTTCTTGGAAAGCCGCTTAAAACCGGTTGAGAGTGTCTCTGGTTGTGCTGCGTGCGTCTTCGAGAATCCTTGGGGAAACCCAAATATCGGTGTAAAATGCCTTCAAGAATAACTTATGTTTATCAGTGTTAATGCCTTCAAGAATAAGCTAGTGTGTGTAATAGTACATCACCTGTTAAACCATTGAGGAAAAGAATGGTTCGAGAATGACAAATTTGTTGGAATTGAGAGAGATGGTAACAGCATACGCCAAAAGAGAAAGCCATATCATATGGCAAATACCAAACCTTACAAAGATGTGTTCTTGATACAAACTTAACTCTCGTCTAAAACCTTACAGAAACAGCTAAATCTATACAACAAACTCTACCACGGATCTGTGCAACAAATTCATCATATCATGGATTGACCACCAAAGCATTTTTGCACCGGAAAAATAATCAGTTTTAAAGACATGAAAGGGTTTGAAAAGGGTTTTTTTTTTGCTAGCCTGCGGTTAAAGTGTTAACCCTTCCACGCCATATTAGCCGACAGCACAAAGGCCTCCACAAGAGATCCCATCTTGTTCAATCTTGTGAGTTTGCAGTTGATAAACCATCTTCTTTCAGTCCAGGTCACATCAAATAACTGCCATTTACCGGTTTCTTGTGCTATTTCCTTTAGCATTGGTCAAAATCCAGTTTCCCCCTCCATCAGTTTCTTGGCTCCTGCTTCAGATGGATGCTCGAAGGAATCATATAAGATCTTGGCTGAGAGAGACATCAAAAACATTCTATTTTAACACCAAATGTGAAGTGAACCAAACGATACAGTAAGGCTATCCATAGTTCAGCCAGATCTAAAGCAATGTTCCTGTACAAGATCACAGTCCCATAATGTATTAAAATTCTGATTAAATAAACCGAGAAGACATTTTTTTCATATGAGGTCTTTTAATCTCCTTAACATCAAATACATTTAAGGGTTAACACTTTAACTGCAGGCTAGCAAAAAAAATATACAAGATTGCTTACTTGTGGTGTACTCGACATAAACCTGAATGCAAGATCATTGTTAATTGAAACGGGTAGAGGTGGCATCCGGCTGATGATACCAGGCATCTCCTTCATGCTGCAGCAATGATAAGTAAGATTTTCAGTAAATCAAGCTTTTAAAACAGAGAAGGGGAAAGACGACAGAGGAAATGTATCATTAGTGACTCAAACGTGCTAATAGATCCACATACTCATTCAAGATGGAACTGAGGTTATTTCTTGCCAGATTAAACAGACTGATGTTATCCAGTGGCTGTATGCAGAAAATAAGATGTCAGGATCAGAATTCACTTGGAAATGACAACGAGATGTACCCCAACCACACAGTAAGTTGCATTATATAAACACAGTGCATGTGAAAAGTATGAATCTTTTTAGTCAGTTTTCTAGTCATGCCAATCTTTTTCTACCAACTAGCATTTGGATCAGATTCACCCACGTTCGATTGTAAAATCAAAAGTACAAGTCAAATACCTTGCACGCAGAAAGGTTTGACGAAATTTGACTGAAAGCTTGGACATTCTGCCGTAGAAGCTCCATAACCGCATCACTTAAACCTAAGAAAACAAGAGTTATGAAAATATTAGAAACCTTAAAAAGGGTAAGAGGTGAGAAAAAGGTATCCAGCTAACATGATTGAGTTTCGTTTCATAAGTTGGCACAACGAAGGATATGACACAGAAAGCAAGAGTCCAACATCAATAAAGCCTAGATTCAGTCATCAACAAGACGAACCACAAATTGCCTAGTATTCTGATTGAGATTCCAGACAAGATGCACCTTGTCTTTATGAATTAATCCTTCTTTACATTTCTATTCTTTGCAGGAGAGGAAATAAGAAGATGCTGCCAAGTGCCAACAATACTGTGACCCAAATAGTACTAACCTTCAAAAGGCATGCGTGTATTTTGGAACATTTGGTTCATGACATATGTGCCATTTTGTTGTGGCACCGTGGAGAACATGTTCAGTTTTGGGGGTAGATCCACCACCTTAATCAAAAAGAAATCAGTTAGTTGTATGTTGGATTTCTCAAGTAGAACAAGTTTGTAGCCGGTTGAACAAAAATCGATTTGCAGCCAATAACATCTTTTAAAGCAAAATACAACCTAGGCCATCGACCCTTAAAGTTTACTTAGTTACAGAAGAAGTTGTACCCTCGAGTCCAGTTAAGCAAACATACCTTTCTATAGCTAACTTTCGTACCGGTACTATGTTCTTCCCCTTTTCTTCGTTTTTGCTGTAAAATTGGATGCCATTCTTAGCCAAGACAAGCTTAAAGATCATGGATTTAAGTAAAGATAAAATGGCAGCATAGTAGCAGTTATTATAAACATGAAAGGAATGGTGTTGAAACTTTATGTTTGAACGAGTCATATATCAGCTTCATACAATTCAAGTCACAATAGATATCCATTTCTTTAGCCCAACTTCATAGAAGATATATAAAACGGTAGAGACAGTAAGGATAAGCCGATAGAGTAATATTCAGCACTGTAATTTGTTAACTTATTTTCCCCACTTTATTATGTGAATCTACCAATACACTGTAAGCCATACCACAGAACATACAAACAATGTTTGATCAATCATTTCTTCATAACTCCAGAGTCGGCCATATGAAATATTATCCTCCATTAAAGGTTACAAGCCAATATCAAATTTCAGAAAGTTCAAAAGGACCAGGGATTATCTGACATCACCCATAAAGCGATATCAGTTTTAGGGTAACTACAGAAATCAAATCAAGCTTATCGGCTTAGGGTCAAATTAAGTTCCAACATGACTCCAGGGCTAACAGAAAGCCAGATCTATCGTCAGCAATACTTGTCATTCTCTCCTAAACCATACTTTAGACAACCTTTATGATATGGTAGGGTGTCTTCAGATCAATGGAACAATTGAACTTTAAGGCTACCTTATATATACGAATAAAAACTATAAAATAACTTTTCCTATATGACTTTATCTTTAAGAAAGTATACACACAAAGTAGCATCACCATGTTGGTTCCCTTATACTTTGCATATGCTTTAATAGTTCTAGAAATATCCCTCGCACCACTACTTGTCATCACAGCCAAATACTTAATAGTATTTTTATAAGCATTACCAAAAACTCAGGAATAACAAGAAGTATGCAAAAACCGCTCAGTGAAACTTAACGACCAAGGTGTTAGAAGCTTACCGTCATCCATTTACACCTCATTGCTACATCCCGTACACTTTTATCTGGTAGAGTTGATGCGATCTTTACATACTTTGTAACCTGTGGTTCATCTTTAAATCTACAAAAAGGCAAGAAAAAGGTTTCATGCAAGCAAAACAAACAAAATAACGAAAACTAAAAACAACAAACAAACAATGAAAAGTCAAAATACTATTGAACCAAACCTCAGCGAGCTTTCCAAGAAAACTAAGGGCATAGAATCGGCTAATGACAATAGGTGGTATTACCGTTCATGTGAGACGCAAATGCGCATACTTTTCCTTTAAATCTACATCCTTAAACCGTCCAACATAAGAAAAAAAATACCTAACGTGTGCACTACTAATCAAAAGATATAATACTTCTCTACTTTAACATTGTATAATAGCTAGCGACGTAACAAAATCTTGCAGAGAACCCGAAAAAAAAACAATGGATTAAAAGAATTCCTTACTTTGCAAGGCCTTTCTCCAATATATACTGTTCCTCAACAGACCAATCAACAGCCAAAGCAGCTTCATGTTTGAGTCCAGCCGGAGAATTTACAGTAAGGTGGAATCCCGAGGAAGCAGTCATGCTCGAATTCGCCGGAAATACTAAACCGGTCGTGCTAGTGCTCGGTACGCAGTAATTATCCATCGGAATCATCACCGGAGAGCAGTTTTACGGCGACTAATTTTGAGCTACGAAGCACGCCCCAAAAAAAAACATCTTGGATTTAGGGTTTTAGCCAATTCAGGATTAAAGCTGAAAAAAGAAGATGAATTGATTTAAACTCAATAGAAACCCACCTCGGATTTAGCTAAAAAGATGATGGTTATGTCTCTCCGGAGCTACAAATGGCCTCGATACAAAACCCTAAACCCCCAAAGATTTGTGCTGCAGGTAGAGATGTAATCGAGAAGAAACACAACGAAAACTCCGAGAGATCACAGAGAGAAATAGAGTTGAAGATCTTAGGCGTGTGATTCACGAAGAGTGACAGCGAGATGCGAGCTTGGAATTGCAGAAGCCGGCGAGGAGAGAGAGAGAGAGAGTAAATGGTGGTTTTGTTTTGGTTATTCTTTTTTTTTTTTTTGGGAGCAGAACCACTTTTTATTCCATCGTGGTTTTGCTTTTGTTTTGTCCACTCTTTGAAGAGAGAAGGTTTGTTCGTGAATAATTTTTTAATCTTGCGCAATTTTGTGAATAACACAGTCACATACACTTTGGAAAATTATATTACAACAAGGTATTAGGAAATCATAAAGATGAGTAATCCTTTTTCGCTTCTTCTTTTTTACACAATTTATGAGTATACGGTTTTAATCCGATTGGTAACACAATAAAACTGTGGAATTACGAAAAAAAATAAGCTGTAGAATGGCGGAATGCAGAATAGCAGAATAATTATTTTTGATATGATTGGATAAATTATGCGGAATGGTGAAATGACAGAAAATATACAAAATTAATTTTTCATAATAATATATTTTAATATAATTAGAAAAAATAAAAAATTTTGTAATTATTTATTTTTATTTTATTTTTATTTACTATAAAATATATAAATATATAACAAAATTTAATCTATAAATATAATCTGATCATTATATAAATATATGTAGTATAAATATATTTATTCAAATAATAAAATATAATTAATTATATAATTGAATGATATAAAATATTGATTCTGCAAATAAGCTACTTGAAACACACTTTTCCACTTAATCAATTTTTTTTTTGTATTTTTTGTAAGTATTTTCGCCATTCCGCAGAACTCGAGTTTTGGCGTTTTTCTGCAAGTTTTTTCTGATTGGCAAAATTCTTGCGGAATTGAGTTTTTCCACTATTCCACCATTCCACAAAGTTTACCAATCACAGCCAGAAATGAGACAACATGTATTTTTAATTTCTGTTATTTTCAATAAAGTATCCCCCAATCCATTTCCTGTTATTTTTAATTTCTTACCTGCATTATTATTTAGTACTAGGTTACTATTTGTATGTTCGTGCAGGTAATATTTGTAAAAAATATTAAAAAAATATTCTATAATTTATTAAATTTTAAAAAATATTTAGGTATCTAAAAATATTCAGTTGAGTTTTGAAAAAAAAATAGTTATATTTCGTTTTTAATTTAAACTTATACAAAGCGATATTTACATTTGCTTTCGTCCGAAGTTTCGAAAAATAATACTTTTTTGTTTGTATAATATGTGAATCTAAGATGTTGCAAAACAATAAATACTCGTAGATTTATATTCGATTTAATTTAAATGATTTAAAATAAAGTGTTTGGTAATAAAGATATCACACAAAAATAAATCAATAAAAATATTTAAAAACAGGAGATAATGACACATAAGCTAATATTTCATGTTTAATATATGTTAGATACTTTTTAAAAAAAATAAAGATTCATTAATTTTTTTGTCATATTTATTTAAATCAAATTGCTTAAATTATATACAAAAAAATCTAAATATTAATTGCAGATTTTTAAAACATTAAATGCAATTAAAATAAAATAATTAGAGAAATTTTATTTCGTTACAAGAAAGATAGTGATTGATTGCAAGAATAGTATTTGAGTTTTTAACCATTACTGAGATTTAAAAAATTCAAAATTCTGAGATAATGACACATAAGTCACTAATGCTTCTTGTTTAATATATGTTAGATTTAATACTCATCATAAATAATTTAGCTAAATAATTATTCTGTTTATCAAAAAAAATAAAATATATAACTGACATTAGAAAAAAACTAAAAAATTATCAGATGTGATTACTAGAGACAAACTATGTATATTATTAAATTTTAACTAATTAATTGTAGTGTTCTTTTAAAGTGTAGTAGTGCTGTGAAGATATACCAAGGTTCAAGGATAATAACGCTGTTAGTACCTAAATTTGCCAATAACTTTTTGAAGCATATCTACATATTCATCTAGAAATGTGTAAAACCCACAAGGAGCAGAGTATATGCTTTTGCTGTTTGAGCTGTATGGTTTGTTTTGGTTTGGTGGATTTGTAAGATTGATGATTTATCATGGCATGGCTCATTAGTTGACTCACAAACCGGTTCCTTAAATCTCTTTGTCGTTGGTCTCTTACAAGAGTGCTTCCCCTGAACACAACAAAACTTGCATCAAAATAGTAGAAAGCGTATCTTTAGCACTTAGCAGCTTCCTGTGGAAAAGCCAAATCCAATCCCAGCCAAGTATCTTTAGTGACAAGAATCAAGATTACTAAAGTGTCCAAGCTCTTTCTCTTAACAGTGAAGATGTAATCTCCATAACTAGACACTATTTTTGGGTGTATAGTTATAGCATGAGCCTTTTAAAACAAGTATTGAATCAAACAAACACCCTGTTCCACAAAGAATCTGCATCCGTATACTAATTGATATCAAAATTCCAAAACCGGTAATATAACCGTAACGACAATTGACAAATACATTAGAGGAAACTGATTTAGAACCTCAGGAATTGGATTTAGAACCTCAGGAATTGGATTTAGAGTACATGAAGTTTTGACTTTTATGCCCCTCATATAGAACGTCGTTTAGTAAAAACCCTAAATTCAATCATTTGGGTTAGCAAGCTGGATCTAATCCACCATTCTCTCCACTTGTTAAAACAAAAGAAACTCAATTCATCCTCTGTCGAAAAACCCACTTACCTTTTTCTTGAGTAGAGAAGAAGATGATAGCTGTGATTGGATTGATTCTGGGTTTTCTGGTTTCAGCATTGTTCTTGATCCAAGGAAAGCGAAGAAGATCAAACGGTGATCAGGAGAAGAAGCGGCCCGGTAACGAGCCTGTAGATTCAAAGCCTAAAAGTTACAGCAAGAGTGAAGTCGCATTACATAACAAAAGAGACGATTGTTGGATCATAATCAAAGATAAGGTCTATGACATTACTTCTTATGTTGAAGAGCATCCTGGTGGTGACGCCATTCTAGATCATGCTGGTGATGACTCTACTGATGGGTTTTTCGGACCACAACACGCCACTCGTGTTTTCGACATGATCGATGATTTCTACATCGGAGAACTTTCTCAGTAAGAAACAAAAAATTGGATTTTTTTTGCTCTATCTCGATTCAAGATTTGAGATTTTGAAATCTTTTTGTGTTGGGTTTCTTTGTCTATTTGTTGTCTTTACTAGTTTAACTCCTTTTCTTCCATTGTAACGCTAAAAGGCTCCTCCTTTATTCTGAATCTAGATGAGTGTGTGTGCTTGATCTAAGCTCTGTTTCAAGTGTTCTAAACCCATCAATTTTGCTCCACTGATTAAGAATGGGAGACTCTGTTTTCTACCATTTATATGTTGATTGAGTTTAATCTATTGAATCTCTTTTTGGGAGTCAACAGTGTCACAAAAACCATAACTATTTAGTATGATAAAGAGTCGCAATATTTCGACAAAACCATAACTGAGAGATCTAGAATTCTAGTTCCATAATTCTGATACAGACCTCAAAACCAAAAAAAGGTTAACCATGGATACTCCCATTAACCAAACAAATCACCAACGTTCATACGAAGGTGGTCTGCCTCCAGCTCGGCTAGTAGGACGGTCATAAGGACCGGGTCTGCTGCTTCTATAGGCTCTTCCCTCGTCACGTAACGGTCCCATAGCTCCATACCTATCACTTGCACCCCTTGCTGCGTATCTGTCCCTGTCATAGCCTCTCTCTCTCCTTCCATACTCATCCTCGAGATGATGGTGCTCATGCATCCCATACCTATCACTCACCAAACGGTCTCCAAGTGGCCCATACCTACTACAATAATAAAGCATTAAAAAGATCAGGTCTTTCGTAAACCAATACATGTGTTTGAACCATTAGATTTCAAAAATAAGAAGCTACAAACCTCTCCATTGGATAGTTATCACGAGTTTCATACTTGTCTCCACCTTCAAAACGGTCCCTGTAGCTGTACCGTCCACCATCACGGCGTCCATCCATGTAGCGGTCGCGGTCACGGTCACGCTCCCTCTCCAGCTCACGGTCTCCATAGCGATCTCTGTGTCCATCGACTTCTCCAAGTCTAGAGCGCATCGCGAGCGGATCTCTGTATATTTCTCGATCACCACCGGCTGATGGGCATTCTCGAGCCCAATGACCAGGGCGTCCGCACTTAAAGCACTCATCTCCTCCTCCTCCACCTCCATAGCTTCCCTTCCCTCGTGATGAATAGCCTCCACCCTTATTGAAATGGTCTCCGTCATCGCCTCCAACAGCAACCTTGGGCTCAGCCTTGTTCACAGAGATGACCCTATCACCCAACTCCCTCCCATGCATGTGCTTAATTGCATCATCAGCTCCTCGGCGATCAGTGAATGTGATAAACCCAAAACCACGTGGACGGCCAGTATCTTTCCCCACCATTATCTACGATTACACCAAAAGAAAGACCAATAAACAACCAAAAGATGAGCTTGAGATTTGGGACTATCACACCAAAGCAATTTTACATGCACAATGCATAATAGTATTATGTGCTTACAGTACTTAGAATCAGATGTGACATTAAGGTAATGAGATAAGCAGATATATGACATTCCTAGCAGTGGCAAAACAGCATCCATTGCAACTGACATGTTACTCCAGATCACTTTCGCATTATCTTAATGTGACCACAAAAAAACAACAATCTAGTTTCCGCTAAAGACGAAGACTAATATTCTAAGCAAGACCATTATGGATCAGCACCTTCTCAGTGACTATTGAAGCAGATATCACAAGCAAGAGAATCAATGATGGTTAGTCCTGAACGGTTATCATAACCGCTGACAAGAGGTCTCAGCTGCCGTTTTAAACTAGCTAAAAAGTTCTGCTTTCAATCCATAATGGAGAGTCCATTGGCGTCCTGACTGCTTGTTACAGAACAAAGCAGCCGACAAAACAAAACTCTTCACAGGCAGAGATCTGAACTGCTTCTGGGAAAGTTGTCCAGTAAGAAAAAGTAAATAAAGGCCAGAGAGAAATTGACTTCCTAAGAAAGCTCTAATAATTCCTCCACTGCATCCTTCAACAAGTCAATAAACCTCACTAGAGACGTGTGTTCTTACATCTCAAAACATGACAAACCAATACTTTAGGCTCAGGCCTCAGAGAATATCATATCATTCACCAAATCACAAGTTCCAACACGAGTCTCTGAAAGTTCTGATCGTCTGTTTTCGAATCAATCATGCAGCACAAGACAAAGAAGGAGATTCGATAGTAGACCTGACACTCGGTGATTTTCCCGTAGCGGTCAAAAGTATCTTCAAGCTGCCTCTCTGTCACATCCCAAGCCAATCCTCCCACGAAGATTCTGTTGTCAAGACCATCGCTTTCTCTATCTTTCATCTTTGCAACTCTCACTGAACCCAAAGAGAGAGACAAACAAACAAATATTTAGCACACAATATCGAACTCAAAAAGCCTTAAAGAACTCATCTTTTTTTATCAAAGCATCACTACCGATAGAACAAGCAAATCTCAAACTTTTACTTAAACAAGTCAAGATATTTATATATCAGAACTACGAATTGGGTCGAGAAACTTGCAGAAATCCGAAGTTTAAAGAACGACAGCCTAAAATTTTGCATTGATAAACCCTAATTACTCACCGCTAATCCAGAGGTAACAGCTTTCTGCGTTGGTAGTGATGGACAATGAAGGGCACTGGGGCTTTTTGTTTTTTTTCCTAACACACATAAATACAATATGTAGAAAATGTATGCCCTCAATTACTAAAACACCCTTATAAATGTTATTTAATTACAAAAATAACCTATAAACCCTAAAACCCTCTCTCCTCTTTTGTCAAATTTCTCCCCCTTTCAGTCTCCAAGCTCTCGGCGAAACTCACGGTACAAAGTCTCCTCCTTTTCTATCACTCTAATCCAAAGTTTAGTCCTTTGCGATTGATTTTCTAGGTTTCGATTTCTAATTTTAGGTTTTTTCAGCGTTAATCTTTGCAGAACAGAAAAAAATGATAAAGAGACGATTTTACAAGCTTGAGCATGGTGATAAAGACAGTGGATCCGACTCATCTTGCTTCTCTTCAGACTCTGACCCTGAGTCAGAAGAATCTGAAGAATCCGAATCCGAAACCGCCGTTGCAGAAGCTTCCGATGACGATGATTCTCTCTCAGAGCGTGAAGGAGAAGATGAACCCCCAGGTTTGCTTCTTCAATTGAGCCACTATGCTTACTTCTTGTGATTGTAACTCAATGAGATGTTATAGAGAAGTTTAGAAAGTTACGTGACAATAATTTTTTGTTAATAGCTGCTGAAGACGACGCTGATGCTGATGAGGATGATGATGACTCTGATGATGATGGCTATAGAGGGAGATTAGAGGAGACATCGATTAATCGTGACTTTGGTTTAGAAGAACCACCGGAAGAGGAAGAAGAGAACTATATTCTCGGCTGTATGATTAAATGCAAATCGGTTTACAGATGCAGATACTGTCCAAAAGTCATTTGTTTGAATGAGAAATCAATGCAAGAACATATTTTATCAAAGGTAAAGTTGTTAGCTTTATCATTTTAGGACTGAGCATTTAGTCTGTTTGGGAATTGAAAGAATTTAGATTTTAAGCATGAGCTTTTTTTTCTCTGAAATCTTGTAGTTATTAAAAAGGTTCTTTATTGATTTTGACTCATTTCAGAAACATGTTCGTCTTGAAAAACTACTGAAAGAAGAAAAGCTCAGTAGCGATGATGATGAAGAAGTCGATGATCCAGAGACGCTATCTCAGGTTTTCTTTTGTGACATTTGAGAAAACGCCAACAAATTGTTTGAGTTCTTCGGATGAGTCCTACTCAAGTTCTTGCAAAAATCTTAAATGTAGGAGAAGCAGAGTAATGGAAACAGAAGATCACGAAGACAGGGAAAGCTCAGACGCTATGACAAAGAAGAGGATAACGCAGAGACTCCATCTCAGGTTTTGTCTTTTCGACATTTGGGAAAATGGCAACAAGTTCTTTGAGTTTCATCTGACTTGATTCCTAATCAAGTTCTTGCAAAAATCTTGAAATGCAGGAGAAGGAGAGCAAAGGAAACAGAAGATCACGACGGCAGGGAAAGAGATCACAGAAAGAAGGAAAGGTCAGAACTGATGACAAAGAAGTGAATAACTCAGAGACGCCATCTCAGGTTTTTCTTTTTGACATTTGAGCAAATGCCAACAAAGTGCTTTTGGTTTCTTCGGATGAGTCATAACCAAATTCTTGCAAAACTCTTAAATGTAGGAGAAGCAGGTGAAGGGAAACCGAAAAGCACGAAGACAGGGTATGAGATCACAAAAACAGGAAAAGGTAAATGTAAGACTGGTCATTACTTTAAGTCTTTAACCTTTGTGACCATGCTTTGTCTGTCAGAAACCTTACCGGTCCAATTTTTGTATATGAACATCCAGGGTTCATCGACCACAGATGCGACGCAAAAATCTAGAAAGAAACAGCGTCAAAGTAAGGATTGAGACCAGTGTATGAGAGGCCATAAAGATTCATACATCGATAAGAGGACAGGTGAAGAAAACATAGAAGGAGAGTGGAGTGGTTTTGAGTCAGATATCTGCTTTTTAAAACTTCAACTTTTATATGGTGTTTGTAACTGATATATGAGTTTTGATCAATTGAGATTTAAGTTATACAATTCTTGTGTTTCTGTTGTGTGCAGTTTTGATCTGTCTACGACTTGTTTGTTATTTTCTGTCTTTGGAACCTCTTCCTCTTACAAGGTTAGGTCGTCTTACAGTTTTTTTTTGTTATGGAGCGTGTATATACAGTATGTAACTACAAAAGAGGTTAGGATACATACATAACTCAATAATTGCTTGAAGCAAGAAGCCAAAAATCATATATTACTTAAATTGAACATGCAGTACAATGCAACTAGGCTACATGTTTACTTCAAATTATTGAGACATCAGACTACTTAAACTGAACAAACATCAAGTCTATGTGTAACTTGTAATTATTGAGAAATAATTTTGCAAAATACCACTATTGGTCTCTTGCATTTCCTATTATATTACTCCAAAACCTCTGTTATTTTCTCTCCCTTAGTCAGCATTTGTCCCAAACCTGCATGAATCTTGAGAAACTTTAAACATTGGAGACTGATAAAAAGACAACAAACTTTTTATATTTTCTTACATTTTTTTATTCCTTTGGTCTCCACTATAAAACCATTATTGAATCATGTACATATGTGTAAGTGTGTGTCTGTGGAGTACTCGTGTCTGTGTAGGTATCAGATATAGAAAATATAATAATGAATGCATTGAAAAAAGGCACAGTGAGACAAGTGAGATTTGATTAACTTCTCTCCACTGCTCTTCTGCTATAGAAAACAGCTTGAAGAAGCATTGGCTTCACGTGACATCTTAGCTGTTATGTCCGTGACCAAGAACTTGGATAATCGATGCCATTAGATATCATCATGAGTTGCAAAATCTCTTCTTCTTCGAACATTTGATTCCATCATGATCTGTTCTTCTTCTTTCTACATGTTCTTCTTAGTGATGATTGCTTTCTGCTTGATTTCTCCGGTGAGATCAAGCGACGTTGAAGCTCTGCTGAGTTTGAAATCATCCATTGATCCATCAAACTCGATTCCATGGCGGCGAGGAGAAGATCTCTGCAACTGGGAAGGAGTTAAAGGTTGCATTAATGGAAGAAGAGTCTCAAAGCTTGTTCTTGAGAACTTGAACCTCACTGGCTCACTAGACGAGAAGAGCTTAAACCAATTAGACCAGCTTAGAGTTCTTAGCTTCAAAGGAAACTCTCTCTCTGCTTCAGTCCCAAATCTCTCCGGCTTGGTCAATCTCAAATCGATTTTTCTCAATGAAAACAACTTCTCCGGCGAGTTCCCTGAATCACTGACGTCTCTCCACCGGTTAAAAACCGTTGTCCTCGCCGGAAACCGGTTTTCCGGTCCGATCCCTGGCTCGTTGAGCCGTCTCTCCCGCCTTTACACGCTCTACCTTCAGGACAATCTCTTCTCCGGCTCTGTTCCTCCTCTCAACCAAACAACTCTGAGATTCTTCAATGTCTCGAATAATCATCTCTCTGGCCAAATCCCACCGACGCGAGCTCTGAATCGGTTCAACGAGTCGTCTTTCACCGGAAACACTGCTCTCTGCGGCGAGCAAATCCAAAACTCATGCAGAAAAAGGAATAACACAACCGCAATCTCTTCAAAGCCGTCGGCGATTCCAGCGATGCCTATGGCCAAAAGGAAGAACAGAGCGAACGTCATCGGAATCATTTCCGGGAGCATCGGTGGCGGAGTTGTGATACTTCTGCTGACATTGCTTCTCATATTCGTAGTTAAAAAAGGGAGACGAAAACATTCCAAGAGAGAACAGAGGAGAAGTAAGGCAGAGTCAGAAGGAGCAACGGTGGCCGAAACAGAGGAAGCCACTAGTGACCGGAGAAACAAAAGGTTCTCATGGGAGAGAGGAAGCGAAGAAGAATCAGTGGGGACTCTGGTTTTCTTGGGGAGAGGTGAATCAGACATCACGGCGGTGAGATACACCATGGATGATCTACTCAAAGCTTCAGCGGAAACGCTGGGAAGAGGAACCTTAGGGAGCACTTACAAGGCCGTGATGGAGTCTGGATTCATCGTCACCGTTAAGAGGCTCAAGGACTCAGGTTTTCCTCGAATGGAAGAGTTCAAGAGACACATTGAGATTCTTGGAAGGCTCAAGCACAGTAACCTTGTCCCTCTCAGAGCCTATTTCCAAGCTAAAGAAGAATGCTTGCTCGTCTATGATTACTTCCCTAATGGAAGTCTCTTCTCTCTTATCCATGGTATGATGTATTGCAATTCACACACTTCACCTTTGGTTCTCTCTTTGCTTCATATGTTATTTTAAATCCGTTTCTTGTTTGTACAGGAAGTAAGGTTTCAGGGAGTGGGAAGCCTCTTCACTGGACATCATGTCTGAAAATAGCAGAGGATTTAGCAATGGGTCTTGTCTACATTCATCAGAATCCAAGCTTAACTCACGGGAACTTGAAATCATCCAATGTTTTGTTAGGTCCTGATTTCGAGTCCTGTATCACGGACTACGGTCTCGTGGATCTTCAAGATCCTGACTCGGTTCAAGACACAAGTGCACCATCCTCTCTCTTTTACAAAGCTCCCGAGTGCAGAGACTCGCGCAAGTCCTCGACACAACCCGCTGATGTCTACAGCTTCGGTGTCCTCCTTCTCGAGCTTCTCACAGGCAGAACATCGTTCCAGGACCTTGTTCATGAACATGGCTCTGATATCTCCAGATGGGTGCGTACGGTGAGAGAGGCGGAGACCGAATCAGGAGAGGAGCTGAGTTCTTCTGAGGAGAAACTTGAAGCTCTTTTGAGCATCGCGACGGCTTGCGTAGCGGTTCAGCCTGAAGACCGGCCTGTGATGAGAGAGGTGTTGAAGATGGTGAAGGATGCAAGAGCTGAAGCAGCTGTGTTCTCGTCTTTTAGCATCAGCAGCGATCATTCTCCTGGGAGATGGTCAGATACAGTTCAGAGTTTGCCGAGGGAGGATCATATGAGCATATAAAGCAAGTTTGTTTGTACGTTTTCTCCATTTGCTTTTCTTGATTTAGAAACTCGACTCGTTCATCAAACTCACGAGTTCGATAGAGATTGGCTTATCGATGGCGATAGGGATCAGATACAATACAAGTCACCGTATATTAGATTCTCGAGAAGATACAAGTCCATTCTTACAGGGATATGTTCATACATTAACTGTAATTTCTTGGACCTGAAGAAACACGAGGCCATGTCTGTTTCACCAGAGGTTGAGAGGATAAGAGTAGGGATAGATGTTATTGTCCGTAGGTTTCCCGGTGACGTTGAAGCTTGCGGTGCCTCCGGCAATCAATGATGCGGTGGAGAGACACTTCTCGTGTTAACCGTAAAACAAGTCGCTCTAGGTTTTATCTTTTAAGTTGTGTACTTGGAATCTTCAAACAGTATATGTTTAATCAAAAAACGAACCAACATAATTTTTCTAAACCGCTTTTCTTCAAAATTCCGGTTGACATCAAACGGTTCATGTGCGTAAGAAGCTGAAATATGAACGTTATATTCTTGAAATGGGCCTTTATGTTTCGAGTTGGGCTTTTTCAAATTTGAAATGTACGCAGATAATTAGATTTAACGAAGATCAACACTATGTACTATTTGTAAGGCTAACGGAGGATAAAAGGAAAAAAGAAAGTAGCCGTTTCAAGAGAAGCGAGGGCGTCTCTCCAGAGTCTCTCTCTCTTTCTTCCTGAACGGTAAATTTTTTTAACTCGAATTTTCTTTTTGAAGTTTCTTTTTCTCGCCGATTTTTGATGTTCTTTCTCTCTCAAATCTATTTCGTGGTTTGTTTCCGTGTGTTTCGTCTTCGTCGAAGCTGTTTTCTACAATTGAATTGCCTTTTTTTTCTGGTTCGCTTGATCAGGTTTTTGTTGGGTTATGATTGTTTTAAATTTCGCATTTACTGGCAAAAAAAATTGCCCAGTGATAGTAATTAGACCGAATTGAGATAGGAATCATGATTCCTGAAATCTAGGGTTTGAATTCCGTTTGGATTATGCGAATTATTGAAATGTGTGTGATTCTTTTCCAGCGGTTTGATTTCTGATAAAAGGAAGAAAGTAATATCAGCGCTGGGCAGAAAAAAAAAAAGCCGATCAGCTTTCATGCCTAATCACAATTAGAAAAGGTACAATTTCATGCTTTTCCGCTCACCGAATGTTACTAATTCGATTAGTTTTTGCTTATGCAACATTCCAATATGATTTTTGTTCATCTCCTCATCTGTTGCCTTTTCATCATGATGGTTCTTGAAATCATTTTCTGAGGAGTACACGGCGTGGAACTATCGGAATCTTACCACACTTTGTCAAATCTCTTCGTAGTAAGCGATTCATTTGTTTCTTTCTTTCTCTCTTATGTTATCTTTGTGAGCTGTTAGTTTCGCTTTCCATAGTTTATAAGAGGTTTTAATCGGAGAACTGAACATTGCGAGCTATCTTTAAACATATAGTGTTTCGAAATCAAATGTTCTGTCATTGCTTAGAGAACGAATACTAATCTTCACGATTCTGATTTTTGACACGTGCTTGTGCTTCCATTAGAGAACCAAGGAGATTCTGATTTGTTGTTGATGATTCCATGAACCTTTTATCTACCCATTTAATCACTAACCTTGGGAGTAGTTGTTACCCAGTGATGCGTGGTCCTGGCAAGAAAGATGCATTTGGTATACAATCAAAATTACATACACCAAATCGAATAAGGTATTACTGTCAATACTTTTCTTATATATATATATATATATATAAACAAAGCCAGGGAGAGGGAATTGCTGCGTAACTCTGCAGAGTGCAGAACACTTTGTAGAATGTCGTTTTATTCATCTCAAGGCAATCTCTGATACACATCAATCCAGTTTTTCCGATACACACCAATCCAGTTTTTTCATACTCTCAATATTGATAGGTCCATTGTGATAAGCTATTTCATATACACATATAGGTTGATCAATCCCTGAATTTGTATACCGCTTTTGTGATTTGTAGTAAAAAGTACTCCAGTAGATCTGAAAACATGACAAGTAAAGTTAGAGAGAAAAGATAAGAACCGGAGGAAGAAACTGGTTTGTGGAAAAGGTAACTTAAAAGAACAAGACTGAGAGTTTGATTTCGATGGTTTTGAAACTAATATACGCTTTTGATGTGTTATAAAATCTGAAGCACATAATGTAACACTTATTTGCAGATCAAAATGCTTGAGTGACAATCACTACAGCTCCATCTACTAGATTCTTAACTTTAATCCTTATCCCATGTTCAATATATTCTTCTATTTCGGCTTCAGTTTTACACACATAATTTGAATTTATGGTCTCTTTTTTTTATACAGTAGCAGATTAAAAAGCTTATCTCTGAAACCAAAAAAGTTCGTATATGCTGGTGTTGAATATTTCCAGGGAACTCAGAGCGATGGTTAAGACCTTTTGGTTAGTCATTTATATGATGCATTTAACAAGTACTTTCTCTACTTTATGATCATATATCTTTTTATTAAATTAACATTTGTAGATGAAAACAGGTGAATGATACTTCTGGTGATGTGCTGATCCTCAAAAAATTAAAAGTACACAAAAAAACTGTATAGACCGTGTCTATCGCCACATATTTACAATCAAAGTTTATAAACTGAATCAAATAAGGTAATTTAATGAGTATTATGTCAGACTAATTAAACTAAATGAGAGAAAAGGTTTGTACATGTCTTCTTATATTTCGTTATCTGTAACCAATGCCAAAGCTGGCAATGAAATCACGGCATTACTCTGCTGTAATCCAAATTGTAAAATGTCATTTATCGATCTCAAGGCAATCACTAGTTGGTTCTCTTGTATACATTTACGTAGATGTTAGACTATTTCATCTATACATATCCTTTCATTTGCATTTTGTTTCTGGAATTTGCAGTTTAAAGCACTCCAGGCTCTGAAAACATGGGAGATGAAATGTTAGAGAAAGGTGTCGATTAACAGCATTGCAAGGTACGTAGTTCATAGTATATTGTAAGCTTTTATCTTGTGTTTATATACCGTTTATATAACAGCATTGCAAGGTACGTAGTTCATAGTATATTGTAAGCTTTTATCTTGTGTTTATATACCGTTTATATATTGTCTCCATGACTTGGAGTAGCACTAAAAACTCCGAACATAATCAAACCACAATTTACTTATGATGTGTTTTAGAGGTCCGTCTGTCAAAGAATACTTTTGGATCTGAGAATAAATATACATATGAAGCAATCAACACTTGGCTTAATTTCACTTTCACAGGTCTCAACTGTAGCTTTTCTTTCCGCTTCTTTCAGTATAATAGTAGTTCACGCAAAGTGAGAATTAACTTGAAACTTTTGTGGCTTATTCACCACTCATTTTATTAATGATTTATCTGTCTGTTCTCTCCCATCTTAGGTGTCATTTCTGTAAGAAAGATGTGCGCTTATTGGCAAAAACGATTTGACCAGCGATAGTAATTAGACCAAATTGAGATAGGAATCATGCTTACTTAAAACCTGATTCCTGAAATCTAGGGTTTGAATTCTGTTTGGACTATGCGAATTATTTTAATGTGTCTGATTCTTTTCCGTTTGGATTAATGCGAATTATTTGAATTCTGAAAGGAAGAAGTAATATCAACGCTGGGCAGAAAAAAAAAAACACAATCAGCTTTCATGCCTAATCACAATTAGAGAAGGTACAATTTCATGTTTTTCCCTCACCGAATGTTACTAATTCGATTAGTTTTTTTGCTTATGCAACATTCCAATATGATTTTTGTTTTTGTCTTTTGAGGATACTTTTGTTCATCTACTCATCTGTTGCCTTTTCATCATAATGGTTCTTGAAATCATTCCTGAGGAGTACACGGCGTGGAACTATCGGAATCTTACCACACTTTGTCAAATTTCTTTGTAGTAAGCGATTCATTTTTTTCTTCTCTTATGTTGTGAGCTGTTAGTTTTGCTTTCCATCGTTTATAAGAGGTTTTAATCGGAGAACAGGAGATTGCAAGCTATCTTTGAACATATTCATTTGTTTCGAAACTTGCTGATAGTAACTTGAGTAAATTTCTTTGATGTCTAGTGCTTTCTCTTCAAAGGCGCGTGATTTGGCATTTTCCTTCTCCGTATGGTCTTGTCTATCTCCAGGCAGGTCGTTTGATGTTGTTTATGCTTCTTTCTGCATCAACAGATTTCATAGCCTTATGTGGCGTATCTCAGAAACCAGTGACTTGTCTATGGGTTCCTGTAAGAGATGCATGCTTACATGCCTACTTTTATGCATGTGCACTACAGGACAAGCACACTCTACAATTCTCCAGCAAATCTAGTTGGGAGTGAAGAACATTTCAAGATCTACGTGTTGACTCAATCACAAAGAAAATGAGTATATCAGGTAGAACTTCGTCACTTACCTTTAATGTTTTTTTTTGTTCGTTTGGGATAGCCTCATAACCAATCATCTATCTTTTGATTAGTCTAGAACTTCAAGGTGATATCTACTTAAACAGTTAACTGCAGTTACCCTTAGTCCAGCTTGATTTTGTTATGCGTTATGGTGATATCTGGTTAAACAGTTAAACTTGAGATTTCAATATCCAAGCTGATTTATTTATTTTCCACATTCATATGTATTAATTCTTTCCCATCTGCTTAGTTTTTCATTTTTGCTTGTATTTTTTGAAGAAGCAGATTGCATAGACTATGAAGCTGTACATGGGTTCGTATATGCTGACGCTGAAGATGTCCAGGGAATTCAAAGGGACGGCTAAGACATTTTCATTAGTTACCTTAATTCCAAATTGAGTGCGGTTACTAAGATAGTTTAGTCCTTAATTTGAAACATTCAATAAGTAAATACCTGCTCTAGTTAACCCGTAAATATCCTCAAAACTGATCATTTGATTAATTTGACATTTTCAGGTGAAAAATTTTGAATGAGACATTGGACTGGAGGTACGTACCCGGTGATGTGCTTACCCTGGCAATGAAAGGTGTACGAAAACTGAATAACTTGCGTATCTCCACTAATTTATAGTCAACGTTTCAGATAAGTAATCAACCTATAAACTTGTACATGTCTTCTTATGATGCATGAGTTTTTGGAAAAAAAAGTGGCATCTCCGTGTAACAACGACCAGAGGCTGACCACTATTTCACTACTAAAAGTCCACTTGTAAGTTGTCATTTTATTGATCTTAAGGCAGTCTCTAATGAATCCGTTGATGGGTCCTCCTGTATTCATATACTTTGATGAGTCCCTTCATCTGTATTTCTTTTCTTGGAATTTTCAGTTTAAAACACTACAATCCGTAGCTCAAAAACATGAGAGACGAAGATTTAGAGAAAGGCCAAGAACCGGAGCAAATAACAAACTTGTGGGAGAACATCAAAAATCTTGCAGGGTAATTCAACAAGAAAAGATTCTTGGTTTCAGTGGCTTCAAAATTATATTTGTTGTGTTCTCAAATAAGAAGCACATATATAATGTGGTACGATCATTTTGCTTATCTCAGGTCCATCACAATGAACTCTAAAATGGCTCAGAGTGTCGTCTTCTTGTTTCTGAAGTTTAATCCTCTTGCGGTAGGCCAAAAGCAAGATCCAAGATGAGAGTATGCTCCACTTGTGGTGGCAGTGATGAAACTAAACAGCACCATTTGGCTTGTTTTCACAGGTCCTAACAGTTTCCGTTGCTACTCTTTACTCTCTATCCACTTTCTTTCTGTTGCAGTCAATTAGAATTAGTTAGGAGTAACCAAAATTGCTTTCAATATAATGTTGTTTACACAAAGTAGCCACTTTTATAGTTCATACACACTGCAAAAGTGAATTCATTTGAAACTGGTGTGGGCTCCATTTTATTGTGAAACTCTATTTTCGAAGGCATGTGTATATTATTATATATTCACCTCCCAATTTATTAATGATTCTATCTTAGGTGCCTATCCACAAGAAAGAGTGTTTTTATTAAGAAAAGCATCATCAAAGTCAAAATTCCTCAAAGGTATCATCCGTTGTAAAAATATTTTTTTTGTTCTGTCATCTTCTGATTTGCTTAGATAATGAATCCTCGACTTCACGATTCTGATTTTTTACAAGTGCTTGTGGGCACCAAATAGATTCTGATTGCCTGAACTTTTAATCACTAACCTTGGGAGTAGATTAAGGTACACTAGTTATTTATCTAGAGACATTCGATAAGTACTTGTTCTACTTTAAGGCCAGTCCTCAGAATTTATCATGTATGAAACTTAGTGATGCGTGGTCCGAGCAAGAAAGATGCATCAAAACTGAATAGTCAGTCACAGTTTGTATACGATCAAAGTTACATTATACCAGATCGAATAAGGTATTACTGTCTAAATTTTTCTTATACATATATTCTTTTAAATGGCATTCTTATCATTGATTATTTCTTGCATTGCCATATGAACAAAGCCACGAAGTGGGAATTGCTGCGTAATACATGCTACGTTTTCATACTCACAATATCGATAGGTCTGATAGCCTATTTTTTATTCACATAGAAATTGATCAATTCCTGAATTTGTATACCGCTTTTGTGATTTGTAGCTTAAAGTAAAGTTAGAGAGAAAAAGTAATAACCGGAGCATGAAACTGGTTTGTGGAAAAGGTAACTTAAAAGAACAAGACTGAGAGTTTGATTTCGATGGTTTTGAAACTATATACGCTTTTGATGTGTTATAAAATCTGAAGCACATAATGCAACACTTATTTGCAGATCAAAATGCTTGAGAGACAATCACTACAGCTCCGTCTTCTAGTTTCTTAAGTTTAATCCTTATCCCAGGTATATCTTCAATCTATTCTTCTATTTCGGCTTCAATTTTATACTTATAATTTGAATTTATGGTTTCTTTTCTTTTTTTACAGTAGCAGATTAAAAAGCTCATCTCTGAAACGAAAAAAGCTGGTATATGCTGGTGCTGAAGATTTCCAGGGAATTCAGAGCGATGGTTAAGACGTTTTGGTTAGTCATTTATATGATGCATTTAACAAGTACTTTCTCTACTTAGTGCGTACAAATCCTCTAAACTGATCATATATCTTTTGATGAAATTAACATTTGTAGATGGAAACAGTTGAATGATACTTTTGGTGATGTGCTGATCCTCACAAATCAGAGGTACACAAAAACTGTATAGACCGTCTGTCGCCACTTATTTGCAATCAAAGTTTCTAAACGGAATCAGACTAATTAAACTAAATTAAAGAAAAGGTTTGTACATGTCTTCTTATATTACGTTATCTGTAACCAAGGCCAAAGCAGGAGTTTTTGGAGGAAATTGCATCTCTAGGTAACAGGACACGAAGCTGGCAATGAAATTACGGAAATACTCCGCTGTAATCCAAATTGTAAGTTGTCATTTTATCGATCTCAAGGCAACCACTAATTGGTCCTCTTGTATACATTTACGTAGATGTTAGCCTATTTCATCTATAAATATCCTTTCATTTGTACTTTGTGTTTGGAATTTGCAAGTTAAAGCACTCCAGACTCAGAAAACATGGGATATGAAATTTTAGAGAGAGGTCAAGAGAAAATCGTGTCGCCTAACAGCAAAATGTTTGAAGGGTACGTAGTTCAATAATAAGATTCTGTGTTTCTGTGGTTTCAAAATTACATAGTATATTGTAAGCTTTTATTTTGTGTTTACATATGAGTAGCACTAAAAACTCCGAAAATAATCAATCTACAATTTACTTATGACTTGTTTTAAGGTCGGTCTGTCAAAGAATATTGTTGGATCTGAGAATAAATATACATGCAAGACGAGAATCTGCTCCAGTACTAAGCAATCACCACTTGGCTTAATTTCACTTTCACAGGTCTCAACTGTAGCTTTTCTTTCCGCTTTCTTTCAGTATAGTAGTTGTTCACGCAAAGTGATTGATGAATTCCTTCATTTGTTTGCCGCTTTTGGAATGTGGAGCTTAAAACCTCTCTGTTTGTAGCTCTGAAAACAAGCCAGCTGAAGTTATAGAGAACGAGAGCAAGAAACTTTTGGAAGCACATCAAAATAATTTGCAAGGTAATTCAAATTAAAAAAGATTCTTGGTTTCAAAAAAGTTATATAGTAAATAATAAGCACATATATAATGTGGTACCTCTCATACGTCATTTTGCTTCTCTCAGGTCTATCACAATGGAGCTTTAAAATGGCTGAGAGTCACCTCGGGAATGTCATCTTCTTGTTTCTGAACTTCAATCCTCCTGCCAGGTATGTGTCCTCCTTTTTATTCTTCTTAGTCGTTGATTTTGCTCTTATTGTTTGAAGTTGCATTCTTTGTTTTAATTGTTCTTTTCTTCTTTTATGAAGTAGCAGATTTCATTGTCTATGTGAACCTATCTCAGAAACAAAAAGGTTCCTCTATGGGTTCGTACATTGATTCGAAAGCAAAGGGCTGTTTGTGCTTTTATTCCTGTTCATAACTTAGAGTAGCTATGAAAAATAAAAAATGATCTAACTTTAATTTACTTATAATGAGTATTAGGTCTGTCGAAGGCTATTTTTGGATTTGCGAAAAAAAAAACGATTTTATTCATCCGGAGACAAGATGCAAGAAGAGAACATGGTCCGCTTTTGGCGGCAGTGATGAGTTCTAAGCAACACCATTTGGCTTATTTTAATTTTCACAGGTCCTAATATTTGCTATTCTCTACTTTCTATCAGATTTCTTTCTGTTACAGTCAATTAGAGTCCCATTTTAGAATTAGTTAAGAGTAAACAAAGTTTCTTTTAATATTTAGTTATTCACGCAAAGTAAGCCACTTTGATATTTCATACACACTGCAAATGTGAGAATTCATTTGGAAACTTTTGTAGGTCTTCTTTTTTTAACTGTGAAAGTCTTGATGGCATATTATTAATGATTTATGTGTGTGTTCTCCATTTTAGGTGTCTATATGTCCAAACAATGGTGGTGACAGTGATTTCTGAAAGTTTCCGTAAGAAAAATGTGTGCTTATTAAGAAAACCATCAAAGTCGAAATCATTCTTTGAGTTCTGATTTTGATTCTTTGTTACGATTCTAATTTTTGGTATGTGCTTTCATTAGTGCACCAAGGAGATTTGTACCTATCTTGGTTGTCAACAGAATTCAAAGAGATTGCATGAACCTGTATTGGGAGTATTTTGTTAAGGTAACTTTAGCTATCTTGGTTGTCAACAGAATTCAAAGAGATTGCATGAACCTGTATTGGGAGTATTTTGTTAAGGTAACTTTAGCTATTTATGTCAGAGACATTCGACAAGTGCTTGTTCTACTATAGTCCAGTCCGTAGAACTAATAATGTTTTATTAATCTTATATTTTTAGGTGAAAGTAGTTAAAAGAGACATTAAATTGCAGATATTCAATCTGGTGATGTGTGGTGACCATTTGTTTACAATCAAATTTACAGATATCAAATGGATTAACGTATCGCTGTTTTAAAGGTCCTGAATCCATATACAGTAAATAAAAAAAAAAAGGATGGTGTTTGTGTACATTCCTTACCTTTACTTATTTTTTATAGCCTATAAACAATGCCAGAGAGTGGGAATCGTTGGAAGAACTTGCCTCTGCAGACCACTTTGCAGGTTGTTTTATTCGTCTCAAGGAAATCTCTTATATTCTTAGGATAATTTGTTTTTTTCATATGATCTCAATAATAATGTTGACAGGTCCTCTGACATGTGATGATGCTATTATGTGTTCTCAGATCGGAAGCACCCTAAGCTCGCAGATCATTATGCTTGAGCGACACCCTCTAAAAATTCCATCTTTTTAGCTTCTCAAGTTTCACCCTTCTCCCAGGTATGTCTTTTATTTATTATAGTCCTTGTTTTTTCTCTAATAGTTTGATGTTACAGTCTCTTTTTATGTATGTCTCATACCAGCAACTCTTTCACATCTATTCTACCTCAGATGTGTTTGCATGTGGTTCCTATAAGAGATGCATGCTTACATGCCTCATTTTATGCATGTGCACTACAGGACAAGCACACTCTACATTTCTCCAGCAAATCTAGTTGGGAGTGAAGAACATTTCAAGATCTACGTGTTGACTCAATCACAAAGAAAATGAGTATATCAGGTAGAACTTCGTCACTTACCAGTTTTTTTTTGTTCGTTTGGGATGTAGCCTCATAATATCTTTTGATTAGTCTAGCACGTCTAGGTGATATCTAGTTAAACAGTTAACTGCAGTTACCCTTAGTCCAGGTTGATTTTGTTATGCGTAATGGTGATATCTAGTTAAACAGTTAAACTGATCTTGCCACATACATGTATGATCTTGAGATTTCCATATCCAAGCTGTATTTAAATTCCACATTCATATGTTTTTATTCTTTTCCATCTGCTTAGTTTTTCAGTTTTGCTTCTTTTTTTTTTTTGAAGCAGATTGCATAGACTATGAAGCTGTACATGGGTTCGTATATGTTGACGCTGAAGATGTCCAGGGAGTTCAAAGGGACGGCTAAGACCTTTTCATTAGTTACCTTAATTCTAAACTGAGTGCGGTTGCTAAGATAGTTTAGTCCTTAATTTGAAGCATTCAATAAGTAAATACCTGCTGTACTCAACTCGTAAATATCATCAAAACTGATAATTTGACTAATTTGACATTTTCAGGTGAAAAAATTTGAATGAGACATTGGACTGGAGGTACGTACCCGGTGATGTTCTTACCCTGGCAATGAAAGGTGTACGAAAACTGAATAACTTGTGTACCTCCACATTACAGTCAACGTTTCAGATAAGCAATCAACCTAAACTTGTACATGTTTTCTTATGATGCATGAGTTTTTGAAAAAAAGTGGCATCTCCGTGTAACAACGACCAGAGGCTGACCACCATTTCACTACTAAAAGTCCACTTGTAAGTTGTCATTTTATTGATC